GTTAAGTGAGGCGAGCCTTTCGTTCTGTGAGTGTTCGTTAAGTGAGGCGAGCCTTTCGTTCTGTGAGTGTACGTTAAGTGAGGCAAGCCTTTCGTTCTGTGAGTTTACGTTAAGTGAGGCGAGCCTTTCGTTCTGTGAGTTTACGTTAAGTGAGGTGAGCCTCTGGTTAGTAGCTAGTGGTGACTCATGCATCTTCCCCCTGACGAGCCTGGGTGCCCACTCTGGCCTTTGGTGCTACTTGGGGCCCTGGGCTCTCTGAGGTGGTGCCACCTCTGCCCCTCCGGTGTCTGGTGCCCCAGCCCTCTTGGGCCAGGAAGTGACCAGCAGGTTCAGAGCAGGGGCCTGAGTGCTGGTCCTGTGGTTCTGGCGCCGTGAGGAGGCCAGCCCGTCAGGCCTGCTCCCCGCCTGCCCCAGGAAGGGGTGCCAGCCTGAGTGGGCTGGGGGTCAGGTGAGGGGTGCCATTGCCTACCTAGGCCTGGAAGCCGACCAAGGGGGCTGGTGCGGGGGGTTGGGTGGGGGCATGGCCAGGCTGAATGCTGAGCCCCACCCCACCCGCCCCAGCTGCTGGCCAATGCCATCATCTTCCTCTGCGGGAATCTCACCGGCGCCTTCCACAAGCACCAGATGCAGGATGCCTCCAGAGACCTGTTCACCTATACCGTGAAGTGCATCCAGGTCCGGAGCAAGCTGCGCATCGAGAAGCGGCAGCAGGTGGGCCCCTCCCCTGGAGCCACCGCCTGGAGCTGCTGCCTGGACCCGCTTGGTCCCCCCGACCCTCTCCAAGAACCTCCCTATGCCCCTGCCCCGCTTCCCATGTCCCCCACGCCCTTCGCTGCCACCCTCACCCCCTGCCCCTTTCCCCTTACCTCCACTTCCCCACAGCCCTCCATTCCCCACAACCTTCCCTCCCCATGTATTCTTATCTCCCCCACCTCCACACTCGCCCACATCACTCTATCTCCCTACCCTCCATGTCCCCACTCCCATGCCTATTTTCCTACCACCCCACATTCCTCACCCTTTCCACATCCCTCACCCCCACGTTCTCACACTCCCCACTCCCACATTCCCATACTCCTCACCCTCACATTTCCACACTTCCCCCACCCCCCATTCCCCACACTCCCACACCCCCCATCCTCCCCTCCTGCACCCCACATTCCCCCCTCCCAAACCCCCCATTCCCCCTCCCAACCCCCTCATCCCACCTCCCTACCCCTCACACCCCTGCCTCCCGTCCCACCCCCGCCCCACGCATCCGCCCATCCCGCACCCCCCCATTCCTCTCTGTCCTCTTCCTTTCTCTGTTGGACCCTCAGACCCTGTGGAGCAGCCGTGTGCATGGGTTACATTGCCAGACACCCAGGGCGTCTCACTCCAGGGGGCTGCTGGGGACATGGGAGGGAGTTGGTGGCAAGACATAGGCCAGCAGAGATGGAGGCATTGTTGGTAGGGAGGATAGACGCCTGGGGCCTGGTGCCAGCCCGCCTGTCCCCTCCGGCCCACCCCCCGCATGCCCAGGAGAACCTGCTGCTGTCGGTGCTGCCGGCCCACATCTCCATGGGCATGAAGCTGGCCATCATCGAGCGTCTCAAGGAGCACAGAGACCGCCGCTACATGCCTGACAACAACTTCCACAGCCTCTATGTCAAGCGGCACCAGAATGTCAGGTGGGCAGTGGGGCAGGGTCCCCCAGGGCCGTGTCCGTGACCCCCGGCCCTGGCAGGCGGCCGTGTCCATGATCCCCCGCCCTGGCAGGTGGCCGCGTCCGTGACCCCCGGTCCTGGCAGGCGGCCGTGTCCGTGACCCCCTGGCCCTGGCAGGCGGCCTCCCTGATGTGGCTGGATGCTGTGACCCTGGCCCACATAGGGATTGAGGGGTGAGCAGATAAGCAGCTCACTGTGGCTTCCCCCAGCCCATTCCTGGGCCTCAGTTTCCCGTTCGTTTCCTGAGGAGGTAGGATTAGATGAGGGCTCTTACATCAGGGTTCTCAGATTGGGTTGGGGGAGACCCAGGAGCCCCCAGAAATTGCAAAGCTATGTGAGCAAACATGATTGCCGGGAAGAAAGGGATCTCTAGCTCTCCAGTGAGTCTCAAAGGGACACCAGTAAAACTCATGGCAACCTCCCGTGTGTCAGAGTAAAACTGCTGCAGAGCGTTTTCAATGACTGATTTTTCAGATGTAGATCTCCAGGACTTTCTTCTAAGGCACCTCTGGGTGGACTTAAACCTCCAACTTTTCGGTTAGCAGCTGAGTGCATTAACCATTTACACCACCCAGAGACTCCTTAGATATCAGGCACAGAAAAGATTCTTAGCTCTCAACAAGTCTCTGACCAGCTCTGGCCTTGCGTCCTCTTAATCTCTTTCAGTAACTAGATTCTGTCCAGTCACCTCCAACTCATAACAACCCCATGTGTGTCAGAGTAGAGCTGTGCTCCGTAGGGTTTTCAATAGCTGATTTTTTGGAAGTAGATTGCCAGGCCTTTCTTCCAAGGTGTCTCTGGGTGGACACTAACCTCCAACCTTTTAGTTAGCAGTTGGGCACGTTAAATGTTTGCCCCCCCCCCCCCAGTTACTCCCCAAAGGGGCACAGGCCCCCCAGAAGGAGATGCAGGCTCCCTGGTCCTGACACCTGGGTCTGGCTGATTTGAAGGGCTGCAGAATCTTACTGTGTTAAATGTGGCCGTGGGTCCTGTGACCCTGGCCTAGCTCTGCCTGATGGCGCAGCATTCTGCCTGAGCGCCGGCCCCGCTGCCTTCTGTCTGGGCTCTGGGCAGCCCAGGAACTCACAGACCTTGGAGCTGGGAGAGCTGCCACAAATGGCAGCAGGTCACTCAGCCTCCCCGAGCTTCAGTTTGCTCATCTGTAGAATGGGAACTCTAGAAGGGGTATGTGAGGACCAGATGTGTGTAAAGTGTTGGAACGGAGAGCTGGCTCGAGGGAGCACGGAGTTGCATCTTACTGGGGGGCTAGTTCTGAAGTCTGTACTAAGGGTGAAAATGCAGGTCTCGGAAAGGAGAGAGGAATTTCCCTGTTGCCGGACCCCTGTGCCTGTAACAGTGCCATTCATTTGTCTGCAGTAGTTGAGGGCCTGACGGGGGGCTCTAAAGGGCACCTGCTGTCCCTGGGGTTTGTTCCGTTCTGCTGTAGCCTTAAACCTCTGGAACTTTAATTCAGCTCTGTGGGTGGGAGCTTCCATCCCTTCCCCGTGGAAGCTGACAAGAGGCAGGCGCTGCTTGGGGCCCTGGTGGTGAGGGACCCCTCGGCTCAGGGCTGGCGGGGACTCCCCAGACTGCCCTGCCTTGCTCCTGCTGCCCCATCTTCCAGGGACCTGCTCTGACCTTCCACTGCCCCCACCCCTCAGCATCCTCTACGCAGACATTGTGGGCTTCACACGGCTGGCCAGCGATTGCTCCCCAAAGGAACTGGTGGTGATGCTTAATGAGCTCTTTGGGAAGTTCGACCAGATCGCCAAGGTGAGCCCGCCGGCCGGTGCTGCTGCCCCTCATGGCCGCCATGTGGCCCCCAGAAGGCCGCACGCCCCCTCTGCTGACTGTAAAGTCAGGAGCCCCTCTCACTGCATCCAGAGGGGTGGGGAGAGCCCAGCACTGTTGCAGGATCCGGGCGGGGAAGCCTCTGCTGAGTTTTAGCATTCAGTCAGCAAATGCTTCCCGGCGCATGCTGTGTGCCAGTCCAAGGCAGAGGGGAAGGTAGAGGCGGGCAAGGCAACCAGAGCCCTCCCCAAGAATGTGAGGCTGGTGGGGTGACTGATGGTGCCCACTGGGGAATGCATGGGGGCTGCAGGGGCTCAGAGGAAGCTTGGGAAGGCTGCCTGGAGGAGGAAATGGCTCAGCCTCCCTACTCAAGGCCAGAGCCTCGGCCTCCCCTGGGAGCCTGGGAGGACCATGGAAGGCTGGGCTGCACCCAGGTAAATGTGTGCACATTGAAGTTTGAGGAAGCCAAAGAGGCAAAGGATCCAGAAGAAAGGGAACAGTGTTCAGGTAGGGGGAACAGTATGTGCGGGCCCAGAGTAGAGAGGAAGCTTTATGTCATGGAATAAACAAGGCTCAGTGTGAGTGGGACACAGAGTGAGGGGACAGGGTGGCCAGGGCCAGACGTGCAGGGATTTGAGGGCTGAGGTGAGCAGTGGGATTTTGATGTAAGGACACTGGGGAGCAAGAAAGGTGCCAAGCAGGGGAGGGGCACTGGGCAAGGAGGGCTCTGGAGTGCAGCTGATGGGAGTGATCGGGAGACCGGACAGGGCTTGGCTGAGGTCTCACTCACTGTCTGTTTTGTCTTTGTGAGCAACACCCAGCCCAGGGTGCGTGTGTGCGTGTGCGCGCCTGCGTGGGCATGTGATTGGTAGGAATACTCAAGTCATTCATTAATTCCCCCAGTGGTCCTGAGGCCTACTGAGTGCCAGGCCCTGAGGTGGTGTGGGGCATCGGGCCAGCCCTCAATTTGCTTACGGTCTGTATGCTGTGTGCTTTGAAGAGGGGTGCCAGGGGCTGGGGGAACCTGGGGAACACCTGACCTGGCATGAGGTGGTCAAAATAGACTTCCTGGAAGAGGTGGCAGCTAAGTAGAGACTGAAGCATAGATCTAAGAAGCGGCCCCCTGCCTTGGTTGCACATTTGAATCGTGTGGGAAGCTCAACTAGAACACCTCACCCGTCAGAGTTTTAAGAGCCACTAGGTGATTCTAGGTGTGGAGGCCAGTGGTCTAGAGCTTCGTGGGAGGCAGGTTCTGGTCCTGCTCAGAGAGATTTTCATAGTCAGAGCCCCTCAATCCTTGGAGGGACTGCTACATCGGGGTGGGCTCCCCATCACGGGGTGACCAAATCCCGGTTGGCCAGAGTAGAGAGAAAGCTTCATGTCCACGGAATGCACGTGGCTCCGTGTGAGTGGACACAGTGAGAGGGGTACAAGGTGGCCGGGGCCTTTGCCAGGAATGTTGTGGGAAGTGTCCTGCCCTGGGCATTGGGGCTGAGTGTCCCTGTGGTCCTGTCTAGCCAGGAGCCTTGTTTCGGGAGCTCCAACTTCCCCTGAACCAGCAGGTGGGGCCTCAGGGGCTGGCCATAGGTAGGGCAGGGGGCCTGGGCCTCAGGCATGGCTGGCCCTCTCCCTGACAAAAGCCCAAGGGCCTTCCCCTCCCCACAGGCCCAGGAGGAGGGGCCCCAGTGTGCAGATAGGGACAGGGAGGCCGGGGCGGGTGCTGCCTCCCAGCTAGAGGGTCACAGCCTTTTCTCCCTCAGCAATCAGATTCCAGAACTGTGACCTCCCCTGAGCCCAGGGCCTGCTCTCTCAGAGAGTCCCCATGGCGTTTGGGCTCAGGGACCCCCCAGCTTCCACAGTTTGTAACTGTCAGACACAGTGGACCTGTCAACCATGTGGGGGAGCAGCCTGGAGAACGTGGCCGTGGCGCCAGGCTCCCACTGGTCTGCCAATCCCTGATAGGTGACATCAGCCAGGGCTGGTCCAGAGGGCAGGTCTGCACCGGCCGAAGTGGGAATAAGGGCAGCTGGAGCCTGTACCCAGGTGTCCGGGCCCTCTCCCAGCTTCCCGTTGCTTTGCAGGAAATCCCTGTCCTCATCCCCTTACGGCTACTCAGAGCCCAGGCTGTGCCAGATGGGCCCACCAGGAAACACCTGGCATACACTCAGGTGGGGTAGTTGGAGGAGGGCATAGTAACAGCGCTATTCCCAAAGGTGTTCCCAGGCACAGGGAGCTTCCAGGGAGGGCCAGTGCCATACTGGGTCAGTAGTGGCCTGATGGCTGTGGGGGAGGCCGGTGCTAGACCTGGGGATGAGGGTGCCTTCGTTCCAGAGCTGGGCTGGCCTTTAGGGACCCTGCAGGAGGGAGCTGGGCATCAGTGCACCAGCCCCCTTGCCTCCTTCCCTCTGGTCCCCCTTGGCTGAACCTTCTGGAAGCCACAGGGTAAGACCATCTGCCATTGCACCCGTGAGGGTCAGCAGGAGTGGGGATGGGTTGGGAGGGTAGGGAGAGGATTGGAGGGCAAAGGCAGACATCCGGCCTATAGCTCCCTCTTCGGAGTTCCTAACACCTACCCATGAGGCCTTGGTATGCGTGGCCTTTGCCCAGGGCCTCCATGGCCACAGCACAACCTCAGATGGCACCTTGGACACCCCCCTCCCCTTCCCGTATGGGCGTTTCTCCACATCAGCCTTGTTCCATGTGGCCCCAGCCTCATTCTTCTCACCTCCTTTCACCCCACGCTCATCATCGTCGCTGTCTGCTCTCCCTCCACCCCCAAATCCTGCTCGTTCTACATGCCTAGCCGCAGAGCCAGCTCTTGGGTTACCTCAGCACCTGCTGACCCCTGCCCTTGGGTCTCACCCCCGCCCCAGGTGGTCAGTCAAGGTATTTTGCCAAAGTCCCTTGACTTATTTGCTACCTCTCTGCCCTCATGTCTCCCCACTCACTCCACTCCAGCCACATTGGCCGCCTGCAGCCTCAGGGCCTTTGCAGATGCTGCTGCTTCTGCCGGGCATGCTCCTTCTCCAGATACTGGTGGGGCTTATTGCCTCAGTTCCTTCGGACCTTTGCTCAGATGTCACCTTCTCCTCTCCGATGCCTCATTGGGTGTGCTATAGATTTGATTCATCTTGCTTAGTATCCAGCGCCTCTGCCAGCACATGAGCTCCATGCTGGCCAGGACTTCTGTCTGTTCATTGTTGTGTCCCAGCGCTAAGCACTCAGTAGGTGCTCAAACATTGCATGGACAAATGAAACAAAGGCGGCTGCTCTCTGAGAGGCATTCAGGTGGCTGCCCTTAGGGACACTTGGTTTCACCCCGGAAGCTTGGTTGGGTGGTTCCTCCTGGTGAACCACCCCTGTCCCCAGGCCCAGCAGAAGTTCTTGATGGCTGATACCCTAGGAGGCAGCCCCTGGCTGCGAAAGAGTCTGGCTCACCCTGGTGGTAGGGAGGACTTTGTGCATGACGCCTGGCCCCCGGCCCTCGCTGACCCGGCCCCTTCCTGGTCCCACAGGCCAACGAGTGCATGCGGATCAAGATCCTGGGTGACTGTTACTACTGCGTGTCGGGCCTGCCCGTGTCCCTGCCCACCCACGCCCGGAACTGCGTGAAGATGGGGCTGGACATGTGTGAGGCCATTAAGTAGGTAGCAGGGCAGGCCTGGGAGGGTGGGTCCTGTCCTCATGATGACCCTCTCCTGCCTCCCAAAGCACAGGGGTGGGGAACATGCATCACCTTCATTTTACAGATGAGGAAATTGAGGCTCAGGGGGGTGGAGTGGCTCGCCTGGACCTTGCAACAAGCCGGAGGGCCCAAAACCAGTCGGCTTGCCACCTCTGTGCCCGCCTGTGCCAGGGCTCCAGGTCCCAGCAAAGAGTCTCACAGCTCAGCTGGGTAGTGTGAGGATGGGACAGTGAGCTCCATTTCTGTCAAGGACTGAGTCTTTGCAACAGCAGGAGGGCTTCAGGGCAGACAGCAGGAGGAGCTTTCAGACTCAGGCTCAGAGTCCAAGGCTCCGTCCGCGTCCTGCTCCCCGTCTGAAGTAGACTCAGGAGACTGGCCCTTGGGGCTGTCAGCTTCCCAGGGCTCCTGCCCACTGATAATCCAACTTCTGCGAGGTTCTCTGTGGCCACTTGCCGTGGCGGTGAAGCTGGTGGTGGAGGGCCAGGCGGGCTCGGCCAGGCTGACCAGTGTCTGGGTCAGGTGTGTTCCTGGTCCGGGTATGGGCCCAGCGCCATCTCCAGCTCTGCTTCCTGACAGCTTTCCAGAAGCAGCTGGTGCTGCTGGGAAGACCCTGGACAGGGAGCTGCGTGACCTCAGGAAGGTGTCTGCCCCTCTCTGGGTCTGTTTCCTCCCCTTTAGAATGTGGAGGCTGTACTGGACTCCCTTGAGTCCCCTCTTGGCTTTGGGCCTGGCAGACTCTGTCTGTCCCAGCCCTGTTGGTGGACACATGGTGCTGGCATCTCCCTACCTCATGCCCGCTTGTCAAAGGGACTTATGTGCTGCCTGTGTTTGGGGGCACCTTGGGCCCTGATGAAGCTCTTGCCTGGCGATCCTGGTGTGGAGTGATGCCCTGGGGCTGGTGGCTCTCAGGGTTCCCATTTTCCAGAAATGGGGTGTCAGAGGACCCCAAGGCTGGCTCATGCTCCTTGTCTTTCAGGGTTATAGACGCCTGCAGTCTCTCCAAACCCAGGCTGGCTGCCCAGCAGGCAAATGGCAGCTGTAGTGCTAGGCCCATCACCATGAACTTCCGTGGCCCGCGTCAAGCGGCCTTTTTCCTCCTGCCTGCTCAGCCTGTGAGCTTGGGGTGGCCGCGGCCCTTGCACACTCCCAGGGACAGGGTGCTCAGCCCCTCCCGAGGGGGTAGCCCCGTCAGCGTGAGAACATCCTCACCCACCATGTTGCTCTGCCCCTGCTCCATGCCACCCCTCCTGCCCGGAGTTCAGGGTGTGGGGTGACCAGGCCACTCTGCCCAGGCAGGTGCGGGAGGCCACGGGTGTAGACATCAACATGCGTGTGGGCATCCACTCGGGGAATGTGCTGTGCGGAGTCATTGGGCTGCTCAAGTGGCAGTATGACGTGTGGTCCCACGACGTGTCCCTGGCCAACAGGATGGAGGCATCTGGAGTCCCTGGGTGAGGCTCGGTCTGGCAGAGTCAGAGGCCGGGGGTGGCTGGTGTGGTAGCGGGTGTGGACGCAGGGGGGGCAATCAGTGACCTGCAGTGGGGGAGTGGCCGGGGGCCCTGCTCTCCATGCACCCCAGTGGATGCCGGGCTCCGGGGCTCTCCCTGACTTGGATGCCCCCCAGCCGAGTACACATCACGGAGGCGACCCTGCGCCACCTGGACAAGGCATACGAGGTGGAGGATGGACACGGGCAGCAGAGAGATCCCTACCTGAAGGAGATGGATATCCGCACCTACCTGGTCATCGACCCCCGGGTAGGTGGGCGAGGGGGCGGGGCCGGCTGTCCTGGGCACTGGGGTCTGGGCCCCTGGGGAGGACCCCCATGAAGGCAGTGTCTTCTCACCAAGGCTGTGGAAGGGTGGCGGAGAAGCCTGCTGGGGCAGGAGTGAGTTCCCCATCGCTGGATATATTCTAGGGACCAAGTAGCAACTTCTGGGCCTCCAGGTGCTTCTCTCTGAGGTGGTAATGACCGCCTTGCCTGCCTCCAGGAGCAAGGGTGAGAGAGCTAATCCGAGTGGAGTGCTCACCCGTGCCACTGCGTCATGAGCACCCTAGAATTAACAGTCACTGTTAGTTTATTTTCCACGAGGTTGTCACCAATCTCCCAGATTTCCAAGATACATTGTCAAAACACACTTTGGATAAGAACTAGGGAAGCAGGGAATGGCCGGGGGGCCACTGGGCAGGAACCTACCGGTGTCCTGGGCTGTGACCGTGGCGCCAGCTGCCTTCCCCCTTCAAGACTGTTCTCGTGTGCCCAGGTCAGCGGGCCAGGTGGGCTCAGGCTGGTGGCTCCTGCCCTTGTCCTCGGGCCCTGCCCCCGCCCTCTGCGCAGGCTATTCTTTCCCATCTGGAGGGAGGGAGGGAGCCGATGTCTGGCTGCTCAGTGAATCATCCTTTGCTGCGCAGTCAGGAATGTTGGTGGCAGTGGGATCTTCCCAGCTTCCTCTCGCTGCTTGCCCGAGCCTCAGGGGCAGCACGGGCCAGCCTGGGGGCCCTCACAGGGCCTCTGTTTGCCCCTCTCTGCCCCCAAGCCCCGTACCCCTGCGGGTTTGTTGCCTTGGGGTCAGGCCTTTCCGGGTGCTGGTGCCAAGTCTTCACCCAGGAAAGCTCCTCCTGGTTCCTTGGTCCTGCTCAGACCCTAGTGCTCTTAGAATAAAACCCAAAGGCCTCCCCTTTGCTCCCTGACCCCTTCCCACTGTGTTCCCCGATCCCCTCCCCTATGCTCCCCTCCCCCTCCCCCTGTACTCCCCCCTCCCATACTCCCCTTCCCCCATATTTCCCCTCCTCCTCTCATGCCCCCCCCCATGCTCCCTCCTCCCCTCCCCCGTATGTCTCACGTGGTGTTTAACTGGGTGTCCTATACTTTATCCGGTAATCCTGCCCGTCCTGTTGTGTAATTGTATCTAGTCTCCAGCAGGTAATTCATGCACACGGTTGAAAATCTGAAGGGTACAGAAGACATGTAGTAAAATGTTTCCCTCCCACCCTTGTCCCCCAGCCAGCACTGTCATTGGCTGTCATCGAGTTGACGCCCCAGCTCCTGGCGACCCCATGTACAATGGGACCAAATGCTGCCCAGCCCCGTGCCATCCCCATGATCCGTTGTAGATTGGACCGTTGTGATCTATCAGGTTTTCACGGGCTGAGTTTTGGAAGTAGATCACCAAGCCTTTCTTCCTAGTCCGTCTTAGTCTGGAAGCTCCGCTGAAATCTGTTCAGCATCCTAGCAGCACACAAGCGTCCACTGACAGATGAGTGGTGGCTACGCATGAGGGGCAATGGCTGGGAATGGAACCTGCGTCTCCCGTGGAAGGCGAGAAGTCCACCGCTGAACCATCAACGCCCCTGTCCAACCAGCATGTTGCTGTCTGTTGCTGTCCAGTCTGTTCTCGTGGCAACCCCACGTGTGCTGAGTAGAATTGTGCTCCATAGGGTTTACAAGGCTGTGACCTTTTGGAAGCAGATCGCCAGGCCTGTCTTCCGAGGTGCCTCTGAGTGGGTTCAAACTGCCAACCTTTTGGCTCATAGTCAGGTGCTTAGCACCGCCCAGGGATTGCTTCCAACCATATTATCCCTCCCTAAAGGGGCCAGTGTTGTAAAATTCTTGTAATTCCTTCCACTGAGTTCTTTGTGTACATGTGAGCAAACGGGAACAGACTCATTTCCTTTCCTAGTTAAGTGGAGGGTGGCAGGCCACACCCGCGGCCTGGGCCTTGCTTTCTTCTTTGTTTGAGAAGCATCTCATCACCTCCTGTCGGTGGACACTGGGGTTATTTCCCAACTCTGGTTCCTTCTCTGACTCATGCGTTTCTTCAAGTCTGAGGGTCCGTGGGGGTAACTGCCCAGAGGTGTCTGACTGGCTCAAGGTCGGACAACTGTGGACGGAGGCTCCTGCCTGTCACATGCTTGCTCTGAACAGCACCCAATGACTCTTATTTGGAACACGTTTACTTCCTGGGAGCTGGGTGTCTGGCTTCCCTGCCCTAAGACAGCAGTGCCAGTGAATTTGAGCTATGTGCTATGTGGCGCAGTGGTTAAGAGCTCTGTTGCTAAGCAAAAGGTCAGCAGTTCGAATCCATCAGCTGTTCCTTGGAAACCCTATGGGGCGGTTCTCCCCTGTCCTGTAGGGTCACTGTGAGTCAGAATTGACTCGACAGCAATGGGGTTGGGTTTTTGGTGTATGTGCCGCTGTGTGAGGCGGAGTCGCCACTAGCAGAGGGGGAGACTGAGAAATTTATCAAGTTCTTAACCCTCACCTCCTATGTCCCCACCAGGCTGCCTATGGCAGGGCTGTTCCCAGGACCCCGGGATGCTCACGAAGGCCTGCCTCCACACTCTTCCCTCCGGCTAGGGAGACAGGCTCTGCTTAGGGTTTAAACTGTTCCCACCCCAAAAGGACAAGAGAAGTTTCCAGGAAAGCCGCTTGCAGCTTAGTGAGTGCTGTGGCTCTAGGTGCTTTCCATGCGGGTGCTTGGGGAGCCCTGAGGAGACAGGGAATGTTTAGGGGGCAAAGGGGAGCTCACCGACCTGAAGATGGCCCAAGTTTGTCTCTGGCGGCCTCAGGGCCCTTCTCATCCCACCGGCTTTTCCAGGCCTGCCTGCTGCCGTCTGGCTAGTAAAGGCCCCAGCGTGCAGTTCTTAGGGCGTTTGGGCTCTGTGACACTCATGGGGGTGGCAGAGCTGGGCCTGCAGGTCCTCCCCGGGTGTGTACCTTGGCCCCCGCATCCCTAGCCATGGCAGGTAGGTAGGTAGGTGTGGGCCGGCCAGCGGCCCTCATGGGTCCATGCTGTGGCTTGGTGGCCTCACAGGTGGAACCCCTGGAAGGCTGCCAGGGGTGGGGCCAGTGGCTGGCCAGGACTCCATACTCCTGGGTGCTACCCACAGGGAGGAGAGGACTTGGGTGACGTGCCGGCCACATGGGGCTTTCCTGGGTGCTGTCTCCTCAGAGCCCTGTGGGGGAGGGGCTGATGAACCTTTAGGCCCCTAGGACTGTGTTTGGTTCTGAGGCGCCTTCACAAGGCAAGAGCGACCTGAATCCGATTGGTTGGAGGGGGCCGTGCACAGCTGTGTGTCCTCTCCTGGGGCAGGGACCGGCGCTGAGCAAAGGCTCCCAAGGGCGCAGCCGAAGATGCACTGGGCCTCAGCGTGTCCCGGAAGGGCAGCCCACCCCTCAAGGGGACCTGGGAGGCCTCGTGCCTTTTCCCCTTTCTGCCTGATTGCTGCTCCCAGAGTGTCGTGTTTTGGGAGGGCAGAATGGGGTGGTGGCCCCTTCCTGCAGGGGAGGGAGACAGGCCGAGTCTGTGTCTGCCCACAGAGCCAGCAGCCACCGCCGCCCTGCCAGCACCTCCCCAAGCCCAAGGGGGATGCGGCTCTGAAGATGCGGGCATCAGTGCGGATGACCCGCTACCTGGAGTCCTGGGGCGCCGCGCGGCCCTTTGCGCACCTCAGCCACCGTGAGAGTGTGAGCGTCAGTGAGACCCCTGTCCCCAGCAGCCGGAGGCCCAGGGTAAGCACACCCCTCCTCCCCCCGCTCCGCTGAGATCTGGGGAGCAGGAGAACTTGTGCTAATGGCATCCTTTTGAGCCTCACTTTCTCCACCTGTGAAACTGTCGCAGTCTCTCCCTGGCCTCCCCTACCCCCTGAGGCTGCTGGAAAGTGAGGCATTTGGAAAATACTCCAGGACACCAGGAAGGTCCTCCTCACTCCCTAGACAGAGTCTAGATTGAGTTCAGGACCCCTGCAGCTCACGCAAGCTGGACCCTCTGCCCCATGTGTCCGAGTGTGCCCGGGATGATGCACCCCGCTGGGCCGCAGGCTTCGGGCCCAGCCTTCTGGGGAGTAAGGTCTTGGTCATCCTCTCCTCCTACCTTCCCTTCCAGGCCATTCCCCTGCGGCGCCACCGGACCCCAGACAAGTACGTGTGCTGCCCCCCTCCTCTGCCAAGTCTGCCCTGCCTTCCTGGCCAAATCCTGCCCCGTCACCTCCTCCAGGCAGGCTGTGGAGATTGCTGCAGCCTGGGCCAAAGCGTTCCTAGGAACCAGAGCCCCCTGGCCCGTGGCTCTTCTGCATGGCCTTGAGCACTGATTGAGTGCCTGTTGTGTGCCCACCCTGAAGGGGGGGTCAGTGGGCTCGTGTACTCTGGTCTTGATGCTGACCCTGTGGGTGGAGTAGAAGAGGCCCTGGGTGGGGGTCGGGGTCTGCCCTCTGCTCCCTGCTGGACCACTGGCCAGCGGGTGGGGCAGGCCTGCCTGCCACCTGTCTTATCTGGGCTTCAGCGGGAACCCCTCACCCTCAGCTGCCCTGCATGAGGCTCTGTGGCCTCCACAGGCTCTTGGGCCCTACTCAGGTGGTCCTCTCTCCCATACCCCTGCTGCTGCGCGGTGGATGTGGGGTCCTGGGGTGATGCAGGTGGGGGATCTGGTTCCAGAAGTGCGTCTCTCAAGGGGCGGTCGGAGGACGACTCCTACACTGATGAGATGTGGTCGGCCATCGAGGGGCTTACCTCCACGAGGTAAGGCTCCTAGACCCCGCCCCCCTAAATGCAGTCCCTCAAATGGCCAGGCCCAGCACCTGCTGTCACGTGTGGCCCAGCTCCAGCTGTGGCCCCAGGTAGCCCCTCCCCTCCTCCTGATGCTGCATCCGGAGGGTGTGGCCCTGCCCCACTGCCCGCCCAGACGCCCCCTCGCCCCCTGTGCTGCTGCCCCCAGGTTCTCCTGCTCCAGGTCAGATGACTTCCACGCCTGCACCTGCGTGTCCATCTTCCAGGAGAAGGGCCTCGAGCGAGAGGTGAGGACCCTGGGGCAGCCCCTACCCCAGCTCCAAAGGTGGGGGTGGGGCGGGGGTGCAGGCCGTGGGACAGCCAGCACTCCCAAAGGCTCCTTAAAGGGAGGGGTGGGATTCTCTGCAGCTTTGGGGGTTCGGTAGGTTAGGCTGTCTGCACTGGCCTTATAGTTGGAAAAAAAAAAAACCACCTGAAATGTAGTATCCAGGTTGGAAGGGACCTGATTGGATGGCAGGCTTTTGTAGCAACGATGACTGTTCATCTGTTGAGCTGGGTTTGGCAACGTCCTAGGTACGTGTGTTATGTAATCTAACCCTCAAGCGGTTGGGTAAAGGGGGTGCTGGTACCCTCATTTCTCAGACAGGAAGCTAACTGTGGATCCCTGGCCTAGAGCAGACCCCGTCTTTACCCCAGGTGTGCTCGTGGGGGTCATCGCAGGCCCACAGGGCTCTAGTGCTGGGGCCTACCTCCCTCCTGCTAGCCTGGGGCAATGCTTGCCCTTGCTGGGGCTCCCTAGGGGAGGAGCTCGGGGTCTGGAAGCAGGTGTATTGTTGTATGCTGTCGAGTTGATTCGGACTCACAGTGACCCTATAGGACAGGGTAAAACTGCCCCATAGGGTTTCCAAGGCTGTGATCTTTACGGAAGCAGACTGCCACATCTTTCTCCTGCAGAGGGGCTGGTGGGTTCAAACTGCTGACCTTCCAGTTAGCCGGGTGCTTTAACCACTGTGCCACCAGAGTTCCTTGAGGCAGATGTGGCCACCGTGAAACCTGCCCGGTTGTGACCCCGGGCGGGCTGCTGACCTCCTGCCTTGGTTTTCCCATTTGTAGCAGGGCCCTCCCGGGCTGTGCTCATGAGAGGTCAGGCTCAGCCTTGCCCCTTGGTTTGGGTGAGGACAGATTTCCTAGCCACCCCAGTCTCAGCAGCCCTGAGAGCTCAGACTTGGCTCCTAGCCACCCCTTGCTCTGGGCATGGGGCTTGGGGCTTTTCGGGGACCCCAGAAATAAAGTTGGAGACCTGGGTGGGGTAGAGAAGGGTAGGTATTGCTGCTTCTAAATACAAAAATACTCCAAACCTGTTGCCATCGAGTCGATTCCAACTCATAGTGACCCTATGCGACAGAGTAGAACTGCCCCATAGGGTTTCCAAGGAACAGCTGGTAGATTTGAACTGCAGACCTTTTGGTTAGCAGCTGAGCTCTTAACTACTGCACCATCAGCCGTCAGGGGTCCAAATACAAAAAACGGGCTGCAAAATGGAAAGACGGAAAGTTACAGAGCACAACGCCATCACTTAGAACTCCAGAAGCGCATGAGATTATTTTTAAGGGGAATGACTTGAGATGCGGAGGGGTCAGAGCAAGTGGCCCTGCAGGTGGGGTTCACACGACTGGGTGGGCATCTCTTATTCTGTCGATCCCAGTACCGCCTGGCACCCATCCCCCGAGCCCGCCACTACTTCGCCTGTGCTGGCCTCATCTTCCTCTGCATCCTGCTCATCCATGTCCTGCTGATGCCCAGGTCAGTCAGGGTGGGGAGGACGGTCCATCATCAGGCCGGAAGGGCCGGCTGTTGGGATTCAGTAACTGTAGCTGCTTGGGATCCTAGAAAGTGGACCAGGGGTGGTAACTCCAGCACCTGGAATCACCAACGTGTATTTGCTTGTTTTAATTGAATGTGCTTGCTCTGTTGAGCCGCAGGCCTCACCACTCCCTGACATCTCTCGCCTTCTGAAGTCACCTCTTTTCTGCCTGGCCCCTGCAGGCATTTTAGTTTGTGACCTCTGCCTTAAGTGCCTGGAGTCTTAGAACCGTACATTTCTCAGATCACAGCCATCATCATCTTCCTCTTATGTGTGGGGAAGTTGAGGCTCAGAGAGGTTAATAACTTTTATTCAGGGTGGCACAGTGAATACCTCAGGAGACACTGAGATCCATAGTTGTGGCTCAAGGGCCCTGTTGGTGGGGACCGGGGCTGAGGGTGAGGTCAGAGGGCAGGGGAGGTAAGGCCAGCTACTTGGAGGTTTCTGGAAGAGCGGCTGAGCCAAGGGATGGACCGGGATGGACCAGGGCTGTGGTTTAGGATGTGCTTAATGAAGACAAAGTAGGGGACGCTTCCATGGCCCTTCAATGCGCCAGACAGAAGTGTGAAGGCTAAATCGCTATTACTCGTTTCTTACATTCTTAGCCCAAAAAGGGGGATGTGATGCTGTGTGTTTTGGCCAGGCGTCACGTGTTACTAGTGGGGTAGTTGGGCCCCCGTTTTCAAAGGCCCCCTTTTCTGAATAGAATAGCAGCCGGGGAAGGGGCAGAAGGAGCTCGTGAGCCAGAGAGTTGGGGTGACAGGAGGGGTGGGCGGCCCTCCTGTGGCTCGGTCGCGGGCAGTGGGTCCCCCAGGACTTGGTATTTTTCCTTTGTTCCAGGATGGTGGCTCTGGGTGTGTCCTTTGGGCTGGTGGCCTGCGTGCTGGGACTAGTGCTGGGCCTGAGCTTCGCTGATGAGTTCTTGGTGAGTGGAGAGGCTGCAGGACAGAGGAGGGCTGATGGGCCCACTGGGTGGGCAGGGCTGTGGTGGTGTGAGCCCCTGTCCCCATGGCTCCCTCTTCCCTGCCTCGGCCCTCTTCCCTCTGCTCCGGCCGGGGGGCTGGGTGCTTTGTCCTGGCTCCTCTTGCCTCGAGGACACTTTGCTGAGTGTTCTGGAAGCTTCTTCAGAGAGTTCTTCCCGTGCCTGCTGGAGCCCCCCAAGTGGCTGTTAGCAGCTCCCCAGGGTGGGGGCGTCTCTGTGCATTTACAGTGCTTGCTAGGTGCCAGGCACGGTGGGTATGCCCCCCTACCTTCATCACCTGAACAGACGTCTGTGTTCCCAGGAGCTCTGGTGGGCACCTGAACAGACGTCTCTGTTCTGGGCCAAGGTGGGAGGGCCCCCCACTGCAGCCCTCAGCAGGCTCCGTCCTGGTCTCTGTGTGGGCCCTGGGTGACTCGGCCCCATTTTTCCACAGAGGTGCTGCCCAGCCCGGGGGATGCTCCGGGCCATCTCCCAGAGAGTGGAGACGCAGCCCCTGCTGAGGGTGTCCCTGGCCATCCTGACCATCGGCAGCCTGCTCACCATCGCCATCATCAGCCTGGTGGGTCCCGGGGGGAGTCCCTTATGCTGTGGCTGTATGCTTCCCGGGTGGGGGAGCCACTGTGGGAACCTCACGGTTCTGGAATCCTGTCATCTTGCTGTTTTTACAAGCTGTATATCTCCTGTCACCCACTCCAGAGCTTGGTGGGTGGGTGATGTGTCTCCTCATTTCAGGCTTAGGGACTCTCACCCTTCATTTTTCAAATGGAGGCTGTGGGCCCACAGAGAGTTTAAGTGGCCAATCCCATGGGTCTGTGCACTTGACCTCCCCGTCCTCGGGTTCCTCACTGTCCTACCTCACCCCCCCTAGGGATGTTGCTAGCTTCAGCCTGGCTTCTCCTGGCTCCATCTCACTACTGCAGAAAGCGGCTTGTGTGTCACACTTGTCCTCTCTCCTTCCTCCCGGCTCCGCAGGCTGAGCCCTCTCCCCCATCCCACCCCCTAGACACTAGATTTTTGAAGTGTGCTCCTATGACACTGTCCCTCAAGGTCACCTAGGGAGAAGGAGGCATCGAATGTGCTGTGTCTGCAGCTGAGCCAGCCTCTGATGCTCTGGGGCTGGTGTCGTGTATCCCTGCCTTGTCCACGAGCCTGCCGGCTGCTGTGGAAAGCATGCAAGCTGCTCTGGGCAGTGTTCGGAGCAGGGCCTGGCAGCGTCCTGGTGCTCACCATGGTCTTGGGGCCCCATCCTCTGCCCCACCCGACTCTTCCTCTCCACCCTGCTGGGCCTTGGCGGGTCCCGAGTCACTCTCCCCTAGACTGACCCTAGCTGGGCCTTGTCTCCTCTGTAGCCGCTGCTGCCTCTCCCAGTGCGGGAGCCGCTTGGTGGGAACAAGACAAGCGTGAGCGCTGTGAGCAACCAGACCTCGTGTGAGCTGCTCCTGGTGAGTGCTCCGGTCCCAGGCTCCATGTGGTGCTGCCTGGACTGCACAGTCGGGCCATTGGTGCTGAGCCCGAGAGCACGGGGTGTAGAAGGGCTGAGCCCAGCCTCTCCCAGGCAGGGCTGAGGTGGACTCTGGGCCTGGAGAACCGGTACAGACGAGTCTCGTCTTGTGCGCTTGGTCTGAGGTGGGTGGGACAGGCAGGGGGCCGTATAAGGGGCTCTCCCGGTCACTTCTTCTGGATCAGGCATCGTCATTACCTCCGTTTTACAGGTGGGAAGTGGGGCTCTGAGGTTAACTGACTTACCGAGTAGCTGGTGGCGCCTGGACGGGGACGCAGGCAGGCTGACCCCAGCTCCCCAGGCTTCCCTCTGCTGGAAATGTCATAATGATAGACAGAAGGAGGGCTCTGGGGACTCGGGGGGCAGCGGCTTCATCTGAAGGGCAGAGAGAGGCCGGGTGAGAAAGTGGGAGCAGTAGGATTTTCAGGTGGTTTGTGCGATGGGGAGGGGGTGGGAGAGGGTAGCAGCAGAGGATTAGGAGATACAAGCAGGAAAGTAGGTTTGATCCAGATCGGGGCAGAGCGTGAATGCCAGGGTGGAGAGTAGGGGCTTTATTCTGACGGCAGTGGGGAGCCACAACATGATCTTGAGCAGGGGAATAATGTGGGCAGAGAGGCATGTTGGGAAGGGCAAGCTGACTGCAGAACCCGAGGCGGCGGGGAGGCTGTTCAGGCTTGTGGTGTGCGTACCACCGTGGCCTTGACTTCTGCTCGTCATATCCACTCATCCCCTCCATTTTTATTTACTACGTTTTTTTCCTTTAAACGAGCTCATCTGCCATAAACAGAATACAGTGAAAACAAAACAATACCATAAACTTTTAGATTTCATTGCCTGCACTTAGTTAACCTGGAAGATCAGCAAGTGATGGCAGACATACTGCTCCCACCTGGCTCTAAACCCCCAGGAGGGGAAGGGACTGTGAGCCAGGGTTAGTTAATGCTGAAGCACCTCTCCCTGGGGTAACCGCTGGCCCAGGAGGCTTGCTTCTTGCTGGGGGATGGTGGGGTGACCTCGGCCCCTGGGTAAGGCCCCCCTCCCACCCCCCAGCATTACACCAGCAGCTGCATCCTGGGCTTCATTGCTTGCTCCGTCTTCCTGTGGATGAGCCTGGAGCTGAAGTTTGTGCTGCTAACTGTGGCCTTGGTGGCCTACCTGGTGCTCTTCAACGTCTCTCCATGCTGGCAGTGGGCCTGCTGTGGCCACGGCCCAGACAACCTCACGGAGACCAACGACACCCTCAGGTAGGCCCCCAAAGCCACTCACTGCTGGGGTCCTGGCTCCTTCATACATCTCACAGGCCTCAGGAGTGTGGCAACCTTTATATTCTAGTGCCATTTGCACTGGAGCTTGTGGGGTGGGGCTGGGAGGTGGCAGGGTGTCCATTTTACAGAAGGGGAGGTGGAGGCCTGGGGAAGGCGACTTGCCCAGTTCCCTGCACCCGAAGCTGGGGACCGTGGTTCACTGGCGGGCTGTCTAGGGGAAGTCCTGAGTCCCATAGAGGCCATTTCCAGGCCAGCCTAGGGGTGCAGGGGGGAGACCTCAGCTCTCACTCAGTCCCTCTGTGGGCCGTGTCCTGGATCCCCAAAGTCTTGGAAAGGGGAGCAGCCTCTGCTTCCTTCTTGGACAGGGGTGACTCCTGTGGCATGGGAGGGGCTGGCGTGCGTGCACTTCTAGTGGTTTTGGGGCCGAATTGGTGTGAGGACCCAGAATAAAATCTGCTCTTGTGGGTCTGGCCTGCCAGTTAAGGAGAGCCTTCATCCGTCTGCCAATCTCCAAGTCCCTGCTGGCCTGGCCCCCTGCCCTGGCTCTCCGTAAGTCTGGGCTGCCTTCTGGCTGCTGCCTCATCTGGCACGAGGGCTTTTCCTTCAGACCTCGCGGTGGCTGATTCCATCACCCAGGTGTGACCTCAGGGACGCCTCCCTCACCTGCAGTCAATCTCTCTGCTACACTCCTTCCTTTACTATCGGAAACGGTCGTTTCCTGTCTGCCCACTAGAAGGTGAGCACCAAGAAGGCAGAGGTCTGTGCACTCTTCCCCTCGGGGGCACAGAGCACTTAGAGCACTCCAGGAAGTGCCGGGGGCCACATGCGGCCTCCTGCAGGTGGGGACTGAGTGCACCAATTTGAGGTGTCGCATCGGAACTGGAAACATATCTTGCCTTTCCCCTTCATATCCAGCAGCTCACCTCATCCATGGAATGATTTGAAGACAATGATTAATTTCTACCTGGTTCTGTTTTATGTCGCCCTCGTCATGCTCTCCATGCAGGTAGGCTGGACAATGCCCCAGTGAAGCCGTGGCTCACGCTGGCCGCCTTCTCCTCCATCTGGAGAGGTGACGGGGATGGGGACTGCCTCAGACGTGGAGCAGCACAGGAGACAGCAGCCAGCCTGGAGGGCGGGCCCTGGTCCCTGGGTCAGGGGTTCCAAGTCGGTGTCTTCACCTCCCTGTGTCACCTCCCACCAGGACATAAGTGACAGTTGATCTCGTGGGTCATGGGGAAACCCTGTTCAATTAGAGGTTTGCCACCAGCAGAGGTGGGCAGTACTCAGCTGCTGGCTTAGTAGCCGCAGGGGTTACCACTGTGCCTTGCCACCCGCTGGGTGGGTGTTCCTGCCCTTGCTGGCCTACCGATGGGATGCTGTCTCCCCTGCGTGCAGACTGACTACTACTGCCGTTTGGACTGCTTGTGGAAGAAGAAGTTCAAGAAGGAGCACGAAGAGTTTGAAACCATGGAGAGTGTGAACCGCCTTCTTCTGGAGAACGTCCTGCCAGCCCACGTGGCCGCCCACTTCATCGGCGACAAGTTAAATGAGGTGTGATGGGACAAGGGGCTGGGGCACTTGGGCAGGGAGTTATCAGAAGGTACACGTGCACTGTCCCGCCGAGGGAGTATCTATAGATGGAAGGCGCTTTCCAAGCTGGGCTTCTTTGGTCGTGGTCGATTTGTGGCAGAGCTGTAAGAACTCAGGAGTCAGAGACCTGGGTTCAAGCGTGATCGTGGATAAGATACTTCACTTTTCTGGGCCTTGACTCTTAAAGTGGGGCCAACAGACTTAACCTCGCAGGACTGTCACGAGGATCAAATGTGTCCAGGTATTTGTAATCTGGACATTGTGTACCGATGAAAATAACTGCATTTCCACTAGTTCTTTGAAAAAAGGGGGGAGGTTGTACATAAGAAAACAGATCCAGTGACTTGCTTAGTGGCCCAGAGGGTATAGAACCCAGGTCCACTGACTGCTGCCTTCTAACCCGCTATACGCAGCATCACTGGGGGTACTTAAAAGCACAGAGACCTGAGCCTGGCCCCATCCCAACCCACTGATTCGTAATCTCTTGATTCCCACGGCAGCCAGGGTGAGAACCACTTAGCGCCTAATCTCCACCCAAGGCTTAGGTTAGCGAACAGCTCCCAAAGTGCCTCAGCCTGCTTCTCCCCTCCCTGCACCCAGGACTGGTACCACCAGTCGTATGACTGCGTCTGTGTCATGTTTGCGTCCGTGCCGGACTTCAAAGTGTTCTACACCGAGTGTGACATCAACAAAGAAGGGCTGGAGTGCCTGCGCCTGCTAAACGAGATCATCGCGGACTTCGACGAGGTACAGCCTCCTGACCCGCCCTGCACATGGTGGCGCGGGCATCCTAAACCGCAGACACTAGAAAAGGGGACACAGCTCCCCTGGGGGACACACACCTCACACCAGGGATAACAAGGTACACACCTGCCTTCTCCACTGTTTTACTGTTAAATATTTGGTTAGCACCTTCTCTGCGCCAGGCCCCTTGAGAGGCTGGACTTGGGCCCGAGGCCTGTACAACAGCTTTGAGCTCCAGCTCAGCCCATGCTCTCAGCTCATTTCAGAGGAAATCGGTTTGGCTTAACTCTTTGCTAGAAACAGCTAGCCACATGACCGTGTAGATTATGCTGAGCTGTGCGTTTGCTCCTTAAAGAGAAGGCCAGAGCAGCTGGGAATGGAAGGGACAAGGAAGAGACAAAAAACACCAGGGCAAGGTGGAGACAATGGGAGGAGCAGGGGGAGAAGAACCCAGAGGCCGTGTCCCCACTTGTCCTTGGTTAGGAGCTCAGACGGAAAGGGCCAATTATGAGAACATGTCTGTGTGAGAAGTGCCGGTGGGAGGGAATCTTGGAAAAGGGAGGCCTGAGTTGCTGCCGCAGGATCTGGGACAGGCCTGGGCTGCAGCTGTGGAGTCCCAGGCCCTGCCCACTGCCTCCCTCTGTCCTGCAGCTGCTGTTAAAGCCCAAGTTCAGTGGCGTGGAGAAGATTAAGACCATCGGCAGCACGTACATGGCAGCTGCAGGGCTCAGCATCACCTCGGGGCATGAGAACCAGGTACTCAGGGCAGCAGTGTCTCAGCCTCACTTAGAGTCCCCAGACCTGTCACCTTATTTAAAGGGAGCACCTCCCTATCTCCCACCCTGCGCGGGGGGTACAGGAACTTGGATGGCTCAGCAGGGAGAGTTTTGGTGGTGGCGGCAGGCAGAAGACCCCCGAGAGCTGCCTTCTGGGGTCACAGGTGCTCTCGCAGGGACACGCACAGGGGAGGCATTCCCAGTGCGGCAGGGCTCCAGGTTAGGGCTCTGGGCTGCCACCTCACATACCTGGCCCAGGCAGGACAGTGGGGTGACTTCTCGCGGCCCCGAGTGCACAGGCTGTGTCCCGCAGGACCTGGAGCGGCAGCACGCCCACATCGGCATCATGGTGGAGTTCAGCCTCGCCCTGATGAGCAAGCTGGACGGCATCAACAGGCACTCCTTCAACTCCTTCCGCCTCCGCGTCGGTGAGGGCCCAGGCGGGCGGCTGGGTTCTGGTGGGGGGAGACTGCACAGCCCCGACCCCTGCTTCCAGGCAAGGCCGCGCTCAGGTCTGGCTGCAGAAGCTGTACTTTGCCATCTATTATGGAAATTTTTAGAAACCCCTCACCTGATCTTACAATGCCAGCAGCTGGATAATAATTCTGATTTTCTTTGCATACCACTTAGAAAGCTACCTTGGAGATTGTTAATATAGCACTACAGAAAATGGAGAACCAAAACAGGTGACCTCAAAATACACTGAGAACAAAGCAAGGTTATTAAATCTAACTAGTCCCTGTTAGCCTAAAGGCCTGGTGCTCAAAGCCCATTTACTCTGTATGAGGGAGATTAGCAGCTACTAGAAAAGTGTTACCACCACACCCAGACTTCTCCTTGCGTATCTGGAAAGTCTGAGAAAGAACTGCCCGGGGAATGCCCTCCTCACTTCCCAGGTGAGACCTCAGGCAGCACTACCCGGCCTTCCCTTCTTGCCACTCCAGGTAGTCAGCACTTTATGTGGTGGGGTGGATTCTGGGGCATCCCTAAGGAGCAAGGCCCGAGGCTCTGCCTATGTGCTGGGCTAACTGCAAACCTCTTCCTCAGGCATAAACCACGGGCCTGTGATTGCTGGGGTGATTGGGGCGCGGAAACCTCAGTATGACATCTGGGGAAACACGGTCAATGTTGCCAGCCGAATGGAGAGCACTGGGGAACTTGGGAAAATCCAGGTAAGCAGGGGGAAGAGCCCTCCCCAGAGGTGAGGGGACGGGGCTGGGGAGTCTAGCTGCACAGTTCCTGAGGGAGAGCAGACATGGTGCTGCTCGCTGGCCAGTTTCCATCGATCCCTCCCAGCTTCCTCCTGGCCTCTCTCCTTCGCAGGTTACCGAGGAGACCTGCACCATCCTGCAGGGACTGGGCTACTCCTGTGAGTGCCGGGGAATGATTAACGTCAAAGGCAAGGGCGAACTGCGGACTTACTTCGTCTGCACAGACACTGCCAAGTTCCAAGGGCTGGGGCTGAACTGAGAGCTTTCAGTGGGTTCAGCATCTGCTGGGAAGTGGTTTCCCTCCCTGAAGTGAGCCAAGGAGAAACCAGCACCATGCCAGTCACGAGGCACGCCAGAGATCCGGGCACCGACTCCTGACAGAGGCTGTGCCTGGCTTCCTGGAAATCGTACTGGGTCTCGGACGTGTGCACCAGATCCTGGCTTGAAGCGCCCACCTGTCTCCAGGACAGCAGAGGGTCACTGGTGCTGCTGGCTTCGCTCCCTTGCTCTGCAGGTAGCACAGCTGGAGCAGACATCCCTGTCAGTGGCCTGTGAATGCACACAGGTGGAGGACTGGCTTTTCTAAGGACAGAGGACTGAGACAGGTTGTCTGGGATGGGCTTGGAACTCCCTTCTCCCCAGGTGGATAAGCTGTTGGATTCTATATTCTGCACATAAGCATTCTGATAAGTGAGTTAAAAAAGTGGTTTTAATCTATACATGGTTTCAAACAACAGGGAGAAAAAGACTATAACTGACACTTGTTCCTTCCTGCCATCTCTGGCATGCTTGTTTCAAATGGATACATTATTAATGAGGGCTTTATCCTTTTTAATGACTTCTTCAATACTGGAAAAAATCTCTTCCTTCCATTGGCTCCTTTGCCTTTTTTACCACTGACACATAAAGGGGACTCCTGTCCAGTGTCAGCTTAGGGGACTAGCTTGTGAGCTGTCTGAAGTAAGTCCGGCTGTGGGGACAAAGCTCCAGGGAATGTGGCCCACAGAACTCATTAGAGGCAGGCGCTCAGGGTCAGCATCCAGCAGCTAGCTGAAAGCCTGGCAAATCAGGCACAGCCTTTAGCCTTTCCCTGCCTCCTCAGGCATTTGGGAGCTCTCCCCTGCCGCCTCCAACTGTATCTTAGCTTGTATATCAAAACGGAATGGAGTCTGTAGAGACAACTTGGACAACCTGTAGTACGTCTTTCCTTTTCTTCATCCTAACTTTTAAGAGCTTCAAGACTACAAAGATCTACCGAGCACATGCAGGTTCCCGTATCTGGGAGATGGTTCTCACACAATGCCGAGATGTTCTTCTGAACCCGAAGGAGTCAAGGCAAGTGCAAAAGGCCGGATCTGCGGATCTGTGGAGGGGCGTCTAGCCGTGCTCCTACTCCACAGGGAATGAATGAAGTCACCTGTTTGAAGGCGAGCAATAACCACACTGCCCATTCCTCTTCCTGAACTGCTTCACTGCCTAAGACTGACATATAGCGCATCCTCAGGATTTCCAGGACAACCAAATCTTACTATCCAGCAGGAATTCTTGACCAGACATCATCTGTAAGCTCCCTGAAGGATACAGAAAACCTTGTCCACAGGAGACTTCAAATGATAACACAGGCAGGTTGCAGAGAGGTGACTAGCCATCCTGGTTTGCCTGGGACTGAGTGTGAGTTGTCACTGAAGTTGAACCTACTTGCCCTGTGGTTGGGCTCTAACAGCCTGAGAAGGGGGTGCTGGGCAAGCTAGTGGCAGCCCTGTGAGTTGCCTGTCACTGGAATCGGTGTAATGCATTCGAACTTGCTGTTTAAAGGAAACGGAAATAAGACTTACTTACTTAAACTGCTTTTTTTACATGCCAACTTTTCATAATGAAAGGCTGGTTTCAGGCGAGTACTGTACTGAAATCTATGCTCTTAAAACCCAGGGGACCAGGGCTGCCTGCAGGTCCTTCCCAGGAAGTCAGGTGTCTCCTGCTGACACAATGGAGACACACGTTAGTGGGCCAGGCCTCTTTCTTACTCCTGCGATATTCAAGCCACTTTTTTTCCTCCAGCAACATTGGGAGGTTAAAAACAACTGGTTACCGTTCACATATTTTTCCTTCCAATTAAAGCACTGGGCTCCCGTAAGAATATTTGGTAAGTTTTCCTTTTCAAGATCTGGGTCATAGTGTATAACTGATCACGAAAGTCATATGGAGTGATTTTTATAAATCTGTTTTCTAATTACCAAGTCATTTCTTCACAAGCCTCCCTCATTCTGTTTATGACAGGAACAAATGCCTTTCTAACACTGCCTTCTCTACAGGTCAAGGACTTGCTTAAAGTGTCTACTAAGGTGGCCTCACCAACTCCAAGGAAAATAACGCCTGGATCCCTGCTATTAACCACTGTACACATTGTGTCTATAATACATCAGTGTACACAAATGTACTTTGAGAAGGTGCATGCAAATAACTAAGGTTTAATCTATATACTGTTTATAGATCCTTATTCATAACATTTGTTTCAAAATGTTCTTTCATTTTTTATAAAGCACCAGTGTTTCTAAACTGAACCGATCGCTAATTTATGAAAAGCAGCTAAACAGAGCTATGTGGAAAACCTGAATGCCCGAAAGTGTCTGGAATGGTCACGTTTTCCCTGGTCTTCAGGAACTTTAAGTAACTAAACAAATCTAAAGTTTAAGAACCAATTACTGTGTGAATTATATTTTAGGGATTAAAACTAGACTATTTGATTTTCGAAATTCTTTTGGCATAGGTTTTTAAAAAGATTAACTCTCCTGAGAGCATCCATTTTCATTCTCTGTTCTTGCTAAATGTTAATTTTCAAATTCAAAACAGTCACATTAAAAGGCAATCACAACGAAAGAGGCTCCTGTTTTTCAGATGGGCTCTGCACAATCCTAGCAGGATCTGTTCTTAATATGTTTACCGATCTAGGCTACATACATCCTGCATTTTTATCCTTGCTTTTCATTTTAGCCTAAACAGGTTATATACTGAACCAGTCTCAGAAAAATCACCATTCATTCTACAGTCCCATTATAGTTACTGGTTCTAGAAGGGGACCACATGTCTCCTGCTTAAATAATTAAACTGCCTGGGCACTTGACCTTTGTATTTCAGATAAAGCATGAGTACAGTGGGCATGGCTGAGATGCAGGTGACCTTCGAGAAACAGTATATTAAAACGTGAGCATTCCTTTCAGCTCGGTAATTGTCCCACTCAAGGATGTTGCTATAGTTCCAAACAACCCTCTCAAGAAAGGGGGATTAAAAAACCCACCACAAAAGACAAGTTAATGCTAGTAAAACTTAGTTTGAGCACCTAATCCTCCTACACAAGGACATCATTCCCACCAGGTACTTAGGGGGCTGAACCATGGTAGTAAATTCTTAAAATTATTTTACGCACGTTACTGTGTTCAAGGTATTTCAAGGTATAACAATGGAAAAACCTCACTGGGTAGGGACATTAAAAAGCTTCTTAGTTACGATCCAGTGAAACCAAAGGATTATGGCTACTCTGAAAGCACTGGGCCCAGGCCAGCCTACTCCCGCTTTCTGCCGGGTATGTATGGCAACTGCCCAAAGCCACATTCCTTCCTCACAAGGCCGTCACTGAATGAATCATCAAGATGAGAACTGATAGTTAGGCTGTCATTATTTAAGGAGTGTAGCAGATGTGGGATTTCAGTCATTTTGGGACTTGCTTCTTTTAACTGATGGTTACGAAAAAGGCAATTTTTTGAGCTTCTCTCACTCTCTTACTACAGTCATGGGGCTGACTTAGCTAACATGCGTGCTGTAACTCAAGAGTCCCAGGGTCAGCTTTATTACTTAACAGAAGTCCAATCTCTGGAATGTTGAAATTAATTGTTCCGAAGTTTAATCAAAAACACAATTTATAAATATTTAATATCCTCTGAAAAGCATTTCCAAGGTTAAGAATGAAAAAAAAAAAGATATGTACATTATCTATAATCAAATACCAGTTAGCTTCCAATCTCATCACATCCACATTCAGCAACATCAGCCTTGTTAGGGTCTTCAAAAGCTGAAAGAAAAAGACATTTCCCACTTCATTCAGCCATTTTTTTCCCTTTAATTAAAAAAGGGAAGTGAAGCTAAAACTAGTATCCAGAATTAAGTGCTAACCAAGCCCTTAACACTTCACTGACTGTGATATCATTGTAGCCGTTACTGCAAAGGTGCTAAATCTATTGAGACAAGATAGGAAGGAAATGCAAAGTCTTTCACACACTAAAAGGACACAAAGACAAAACCTTTCCACTGTTATCTGAAAGGAGAGGACTCATGTTCCTTCTACTCACAATAGTGTTCTACTCCCAGAGAAACAGGGCCGGACACGTACCTTCTGTCAGATCTACAAAGTTGTTTTCTAAGCTGGGGGAAGGAATGGAAATCCCCATTGCTTTCCGAACTCCATACGTGCTGACAATATCACCAGGAGTGACTTGCTGTGCAAGTTCTTTAAGATTACTGGTCACTTGTTCAGCTAAAAAGAAAAAGCAAAAATGGTCTAGGTAACTGAAATGATTTTTAGATTAAAAAAAAAAAAAATCCAAAAAATGGTAAATGTACAAATGCAGAAACTCCACTATCCCTGTTATTTCAGTGTGACCTTTACAGTGGTATCCCTACCCAGGTTTTTCCTTTAATTAAAAATACACCTCATACCCAAGGTGCCACATACCAAGATGCATTTCTCTGTACGAGGGACCCAAGAGACAGATCATGTTGGGAGGGGGTCTGGTGCTCAGACGTTCGTTCTGGGCTTCCTGAAGCTCCCGAAGCAATTTGGTGGTCTCGTCCAGTTTCCTCTGGAACCCTTCAGCTTCTGTGTGGTGAGAGAACAACACTAAAGAACACACGGACATACCTGGGTTTGAGCCTGGGCAGTGCACTGAGTCCCAGTCTCTGGGCTTTGCTATTTACTGACAGGTCTTCTCTCCTGGTAAGAGTTGTCATCAGGCGCCATCGAGTCAATTCTGACTCTAGCGATGTCATGTGACAAAGCAGAACTGCCCCATAGGGTTTTCTAGGCTATAATCAATTTTTAAAGAAGTAGACTGCCAGGTCTTTCTCCCATGGAGCGACTGCGTGGGTTTAAACCGTCAGCGTTTCGGTTAGCAGTCCAGCACTTAAGCATTGCGCCACCAGGGCTCCTCCTCAAAAGAGTAAAACCCAAACCAAACCAAACTCGTGGCAGTCGAGTTGATTCCGACCCACAGAGACTCTAAAGGACTGAGTAGAACTGCCCCATAGCATTTTTCAGGAAGTAGATTGCGCGGTCCTTCTCCCACAGAGCAGCTGGTGGGTTTGACCTTTTGGTTAGCAGCAGAGTGCTTTAGCCACTGTGCCACCGAGGCTCCTTCTCAAGGGAGTAAACCCCCTCAAATGAAATAACCACCAGAGGCGTGCTTTACTATTCCTTGAAGCATTAACCACGATTTTGCTGTCTCGAGTGGCTGTGTCAATCTGTACTCCTGTGACGTTACATCCTGACTGCCTGCACTGTGCTTCCATCCAACCCTCTGGAGCACTCTCACCTTCAGAGGCAAACACTTCAACTGGAGCGCCAAAGCTCGTGACTGCTCTCAGTGCTGTCAGCCTGTCCTGGTTACTGCGGTCCAAACGCCCTGCCGGCTCTACTTCTGTAACCTGCTTAAAAAAAAACGAAAACTTGCAAAGCCGTGATACTACTAACGAGAAATTAGTTAGATGGCTTGTGTTTATAGGCAAAGTTATTCCACCTATTTACTCTGGAGTCATAATTTTGATGCCTACAAAAAGATGTCCACCTAGAGTACTCATTTAAAATGCTATTTCAAATCCTGGCAAAAAAGTGTTCCTCCATAAATCTGTACTTCTCTGTGATGTAATGATGTGTTGTATATAATTTGCACCATTTGTTTTATATGGCAACCATTCTAAGACAAAGATCAATGACAGCCTTGGTGCTGCCTGAATTGTGAAGAGCTTTTGGTGATTCTGACAATGCCTCATGTTTCTGAGACCACAAAGGCATAGGTCCGAGCCCACACATTTGCACTGCTATAGAGCTTCACCGTAAGATGCTTCCTGGACGGCCTCCAGGTCCCAAAGCTAGGCTGTCCGTGTTGCATGGGAGAAACAAAATCCTAAAAAGGGTGGAGTTTTATTTTTGGAATCACAGGGCTCAGAGTTTCCATAACTGCAACACTGCCTTTTAGGAATAGATGAACCTGGAAAATTAACACAAAATTAATGGTTCCAATGTATACACTACAGTACTGCTCTCCAAGTGGAATCAGTCTGAACACCCGATTTCTCACCTACACATGGACTATGAGTATGTGGTGAGGGAAAGCTGTACAATGTCCACCTTGGCACCAGTATGTATTTATGGTTTGCCATTTCAGCTGGGCCCTCAATCCTACTCTACAGTCTTTTTACTTCTTACCTAACTTCCTTTCCTATTCTTAAATCATCTTTCACTCTTGCCCCCTCACTAAGCACATGACCTTGCTTGCTCCTTTCTTGGAAAACAACGTGGTTGTGTAAATTCCTTTACCATCTGCATCTACCTTTACTTGATCTCACATCTCCAATTTCTCCTTCCCTTCAGTTAAAGTGCTTAAGTCTCTCCAACCTTAAATGTCTCTGAAACCAGTTTTCCTCCATTCACTGAGCTCCCTGAAATGACACTTGCTGATTGTCTTCTAACTAACTGGGTTTCTATGTAGCATCTGACACTGCCAAGTTCTCTCTCCCCCTGGCTGCTGTTCTTTCCTGGTTTTTCGACCTAAACTATTGGTCTCCAAAGTCTGTCCCTTTGACCTTTTCCCAGTGTGTGTCCTCACTGATAGTCTCCATGCTAATGACTGAAATAAAATTCTACCTTTTAAGTCAACACCTTCCAGGTCCACATCCATAGCCCAGATCTTGCAGATACTTCTCCAGTGACACTCCCCACGTCTGAAGCGGCATGTGCTTTGTTTCCCTGCCAAGGCATGCTCTTTCCTGTACTTCCTACGTAAGCTCATGATACTTTTATTTACCCCCACCTGCCAGGTCATGTCAGTTTCACTTCTGTGGCTCCTGAACTCTCATTCTCTTCTTTTCCCTTGTCATGCTCCTTGTTTTTCTGCTTAGGCAAGTCCCACAGCTGCTCACTGGTCCTCCTTCCTCTAGCTGATCATGGCGCCCTATCTTCTAGAATAAAATCCCAACTTCTCAGCACTGCAAACAAGACTCTTCATTTCTGTCTCATCACCTTTCCTTCCTCCTCTCCCAAGGGAGCCCCTGGCCACCCATTTCCTGAGCTCTCTGCACACATGCCCTGCTTTCTCAGATGGACTACGTCACGACACACGCAGTCCTGCCACCTGAGATGCCTGGCTCTCCCTGCTTGGACCCAGTCCTTGGGCCGCTCCTCTGTGAAGAATCTGCAGAAGGTCAGGTGTTTCTCCAGCCTGTGTTTCTCCAGCACGCCCGTTACCCTGCCTGCCTCCCTCGTTCCAGGCTTGTCTACTGCACTAGCTGCTACTGAGCTCCCCGTGAGCAAGAACACGGTCCTTTACCTCAGGAGGCGCTCAGTAAATGTCCTTCTACAGCTTATTCTCCAATTACAGTTCTTGTGAAGAATAACATATAATCACCTCTATGTCTTTGGTTGTGTCAACTGTCCCAGTCTCGCCTTCATCTTCAGGTGACGACTAGAAGGATAAAGAAAAGCAACTCTTTATTAAAACATACGAGAAGGAAATAGGAAAATACCAAGTTTCCTGTTAAGAGAAAAGAAATACGAACATAAATTATTGGAAAATGAGTTAAATACAATTATTGGCATTTTGAGAGTATTTTGAGTCGGGGTACCTACTTTCCTGGCGACTTCAAGATTGATATTTCTATGCCTGATCAAAAAGTTACATACATTCTTAAGAAGGTATCTGATACAAACCTAAATAAATGGAGTCTGTTTTTAGGAACAAGTGAATCTGGTAAGACAGGAAGGAAGGAGCTCTAGCAACTGCTTTGCATTAACAGAGGCAATATTCTCTGATAGCAGGACTATTATAAAATATTCAAATACTACAGAGAATGTGAAAGTTTCCCATAATCCTATTCTTCAGAGATAATAAACAATAGACAAATGTATCACAGACATCAGTTAATAATGATCCATTGTCTTTTCTTGAAAGGTATACTGCGATTTATTTCACCAATTCCCAATTTTTAAAAATTATAAACAATGTTACAACGATATCTTAATACACAACTCCTTATTCTCTAGGATAAATTCCAAGAAGAGGAACTGCTTGATCACAGGGCAGAAAAACTTTAAATTCTGACACATACTGCCATATTAACCAAATGAAGGCGACTGAGTTTTGCCAGAAGACAATTAAGTCAGATTTGTGGGAAGGGTGTATTTTTGAACTGATGTACAGTTTAACATACTTGAGGTCACGTGAAGAAAACGGCACATGTGCTAAGATTTCACAGTGGTTATCACTAAACCTTAGGTGCTGGCTTAAGCTCTGCGGACAGGTCACCCAACGAGTGGCGACTGTATGTGTAGTGGGCAGAGGACACAACCACCACAGCCACCATTAAGAGTTATGAGCTCCGAGAGATACAGGGTTCCTCCAACCATGGCGACAAGGGCACTCAGGCTATCAGCTCTCCTTGACATCAGCAGGAACATTTTCTGTTCTAATCTTTGAGCCAAGACTCAATCATTCTAGATTATAAATTACCTTCAACTGAACTAGAGATAGTTTACAAGTATTAATAGAAGACAGCAAAAAAGGGAAACTTTTTACTTGAAGCTTCCATCACTGTGCTACTGCTGCTTCATTTTAAAAAAGGATGTCCCGTATCATTTCAGCTAACTCAGTTTCAAGCCAGGGAGTAAGACTTTTCCTTTTTTGTTAGGGTACACGGCACTCGCTGACTTCTGAGTTGTAAACCTCATTTTTGAATCCTACTATATTCCCAAGATGAGGAAATAATGATAATCCTCTGGGCCTCACAGTTCCTGGTAGCTGAGTTACTTGTTTCCGTTCACTGGCCTCCACCCATGGCCTCCACCCAGGCTGGGCTGTCTTTTCAGGGAAACGGAGTTCAGCTGTCATATGGTTAATCCTATGGTTTCATAACACTGAATGACTAATGTTTGAGAGCCAGTAATAAATTACCGTTTCTTTAGCAGGGCTCTTACCGTCTCCAACTCTTGCAGGGTTCTAGAATGCCCTCCTTTTGTTAAAGCATCCAATAAACTATCTGCCATAACATATGGATAATCTTGACACGTGGCCAAAAACTCATGGATTCTGAAAGACAGTGTTGGCAAAGTCACTTTCATATAAATCTTCTCCATTGGCTTAATCTTTCTACACAGCCAAATATTTCCATTAGATGCTCTTAGTTTATACACCGTAATAAAAAATTCTTTCTAGGCATGACACTTTATGTATTTACCAGTGATAAATCTATCACGAGAGAATTAAACAATATCAAGAACACAGTGAAAATGAAATGTTCCTGGGGATTCTCCAAAGAAAACTAATGACAGAAGGGCCCAGGACTAAGTCCTTGGAGCTCCTCACTCCTCTCCTTCACACTTTCTACCTACGGTGATCCCATTTATCTCAGGACTTTCAATATGTACCAAAAGACTCTCAAAGGTACACCTCCAGTTTGGACCATATCCCTAGGACAGCTCCATCTGGATGTCTAGTAGGCATCTCAAACTTAAAATGTCCTAAATTGACTTACTGGATCTTTTTCCCAAAATAGCGTGTTCCAAAATCTTCCCCTTCTAATAGCAGCTTCATCTTTCTAGGCTTAGGATGAAACCCCTGGAGTCATCCTTGACCTCTCTCTTTTGCACCCCACTTCAATCACTGAAGAAATCCTACTAGCTCTATTGGCTTCTCAATACCTCAAGGGCTACTCCCACAGTCCCCACCACCATCATCTCTCTTCCAGATGACAGCAGTCTCCTTGCTTTGGCCCTCATCCCCCTACAGTCTCTTCTCCACACAGCAGTCAAAATGATTCTTTTAAAATTATAAGCCAGATTGGTGCATCACTCTGTTCAAAATCCACCAGTAGCTTCCCATCTCACTTAGAATAAAATGCCAAGTCCTCACAACCATCTACCCAATCTGTTACTTCTCTGTGATTTTTCACCTTCGCTTGCTCTGTTCCTCACAGATCATCTCCTTGCTGTTCCTGGAAAGTGTCAGGCAGGCTCCCACCTCAGGGCTTCTGTACTGCTTGTCTCCTCGCCTCCTTCAGTTATGCTCAACTTTCACCTTCTTGGCTAAGCCTTCCTTGACTACCCTACTTAACCCTGACTACCCTATTTAAAATCACCCCCCTCTCCCAAACATGGCAACCCCTATCTTCCTTTGCTGCTTTACCTTTGTCCAAAACACTTATTACCATCCGACAGGAAGACATGGGGTCTTTGTCAGTGTTGATCCCTTGTAGAGCCCCCAGCATCTAGAATGCCTAGCAGCAGGGGGATGCAATGCCTATTTGTGGAACTTATGGATCAAACTCTGGAAAGAATTTGTTCATGCTGGTGAGAAGAGGTCTAAAAGATGTAAACAGCTTGATCTTCAACCACATTCATTCAATCTCTGAAACACTACACATATACAAAAGTGACTACATTCCCCCTTTGTCAGAAAACCAGGGAATGATTAATCTATAGAGTAAAATTCTCTCTTGCACATAATTAAAGCTGACAAGCTACCACTGCAGTGCCAAGAAGGAACAACCCAAGCTCAATGTCCCACTCTGAGCCAGATGCCTGAGAAAATCAGGCCGATGTCTCATTTTGTTGATGGGATGCAGTGTCCAGCATTCTAAACTGAAACATGTAATAAGGAACGGCTGAGTGTGACTGCAATAGTCTATCTGGTATGTGATGGGCCAAATGGGCTTACACGTGGGTTGCCTTAGAAATCGAGTCAACATGTCCTATGGGGAAAATGCTCTGTGGGTTCCAAAAACTGATCAAGTTTGGGAACACAACTCATTAACACAGAAATGTTACAGCAGATCAGATGACATATCAACATTTTGAAGAAACAAGTTCCTGAACATTAGTGTCCGTTGAAGTATGCAGCATCTTAAAAAAAATATTTTTGTAAGAATTAAAATACTGCAGATGCCAACATCAGCAAATACTGGGGAGGTATGTTCTCTCTTTAAGATATTCAGTTTCTACTAAAAGATAATGATAACGAAGGATCTATGTAATGCCTGTCAATTTCGGGGATGGGGCGCAAGGGGGAAACAACTGAACATACTTTCTACCACTTGGATAACTTTGTAAGTCTATCCACAAATCCCATACGTACATCGTTATTTTAGAAGAATGTGGGACTCAGAATATTGATTACTTGGGGACTCACCTGAAATCGCTTGGAAGATCCGAGTCTTCCCCATAGGCAGAGTAGATTAAATCAGAATCGTCCTTGCTGATATTTGCAAATGTGGAGTCATAATGTGGGGCGTAAGAACTGTAGGGTCCATAATTCAAGTATAACACTGTTGATAAAAGATGAAATACTACAACACTATTCGTCAACCTACATATCAATCTATTTTTTTGTTTTATTGTAATAAGACTACTATCTTCTAACTTCACTACTTCACTGACTGGTATAAATAACTAAGACATTTCCCCAGATACTTGTGAAGCTACAACTCAAGTGAATTTTTCCCCACAAAGGAGGGAGGGGGAAAGAAAAAAGGCCAATGTTGACTCATTTTGAAAACTAATACCTAATTTTTTAGTTTCTTTAAAAAAAAAAAAAGCTAACTGATGTTGTGAAAACACCACCAAGGGAGTTAGTGAACAATGCAATGAATGGTTAACTCTGCTTCCTTTCCCCAGCTCCCTGAAAGCAAGAGAAGAGACAAAATGTGAATTACCAGGCCCAAGCCTTACCTGGAGTTACTCTGTTCCTTTTATCCTCTTTGAACCCCTGCAAAGTATTCACTCCAGACTGAAGTCTCCCAGTGGTCATTCCCAGTTTTACAGAGCAGTAGCCTGGTTCTAAAACATAAAACCGAGCACAGTGACGGAGGCCTGAGTAGAGTGACCACACGGTACTATGCAGAGTGCTTTCTTCCTACGTTGCTTCATGTCACCCACATGATCCTGGGAAGCCGCTGGCAGCCACAACTATATCCACTTTTAAGATAAGGAAATCTGAGCTTAGAAAGGCAAAAATGTAGCCAAGACCAAAACCTGGATCTTGTCATTACACTCGACTGGTTCCTGGAATTCCTTAAAACCACGTGGCACTTAATGCTTTAGTGGAATGAAGCTGAGTTTCCAGAGACAGACTTTCTCTCACCTTTGGCAACAATTAACCTTCATTTAAAAATTAAACTTGATTGAAGACAGTCTCTAAAATTACTAAAACATATATTCATGATACTTTTCCTTGATCAAGAACTGGTTGCAATTACTGAGACTTCATTTAAAAATGTTTTACTAAAAAAAAGATTTAAAAGCTAGGCTTTCAAATATTAAGATGGAAGTAAATCAGTAGAAAAGGTTAGCAAAAGCCTGAAAAAGAGAAAATACCTGGATTAAAAGTAACAGAATTCAAAATATATTAAGGATAAATTAATACCCACTAGAGGCATAACATCCCAATGCGTCTGTCAGTTGTCGTACTGTGGTGGCTTGCATGTTGCTGGAAGCTATGCCATGGGCATTTCAAATACTAGCAGGGTTAGCCATGGTGGACGGGTTTCAGTGGAGCTTCCAGACTCAGACAGACTAGGAAGAAAGACCCGGTAGTCTACTTCTGAAAAGACTGACCAATGAAAAACCTTATGAATAGCAGTGGAACATTGTTTGGTATAGTGCCAGAAGATGAACCCCTCAGGCTGGAAGGCACTCTAAATCCTGGGGAAGAGCTCCCTTTTCAAAGCAGAGCCGACCTTAATGACGTGGATGGAGTCAAGCTCTCGGAACCTTCATCTGCTAACATGGCACGACTCAAAATGAGAAGAAACAGCTGCAAACATCCATTAATAATCGGAACGAGGAATATATGAAGCATGAATCTAGGGAAACTGGAAGTTGTCAAAAATGAAACAGACTGCATAAAAATCGATATCCTAGGCATTAGTGAGCTGAAATGGACTGGTATTGGCCATTCTGAATAGGACAATCATGTGGTCTACCATGCTGGGAATGACAAATTGAAGAGGAACAGCATCACATTCATCGTAAAAAGAACATTTCAAGGTCTATCCTGAAGTACAACACTGTCAGTGATAGGATGATATCCGTACGCTTATAAGGAAGACCAGTTAATGTATTCAAATTTACACACCAACCACTAAGGCCAAAGATGAAGAAATTGAAGACTTTTACCAACTTCTGCAGTCTGAAATTGATCAAACATGCAATCAAGATGCAATGATAATTACTGGTAATTGGAATGCGCAAGTTGGAAATAAAGAAGGATAGGTAATTGGAAAATATGGCCTTGGTGACAGAAACGACACCGGAGAGATCACACGATAGAATTTTGTAAGACCAATGACTTCTTTACTGCAAATACCTTTTTACAACAATATAAATGGTGACTATACACGTGGACCTCACTAGATGGAATACACAGTTATCAAATTGACTATATCTGTGGAAAGAGTTGATGGAGAAGCTCAATATCATCAGCCAGAACAAGACCAGGGGCCGACTACTCATATACAAGTTCAAGCTGAAGCTGACGAAAATCAGAACAAGTCCATGAGAGCCAAAGTACAACCTTGAGTATATCCCACATGAATTCAGAGACCATCTCAAGAACAGATTTGATGCGCTGAACACTAATGACCAAAGACAAGTCAAGTTGTGGAATGACATCAAGGACATCATATATGAAGAAAGCAAAAGGTCATTAAAAAGACAGGAAAGAAAGAAAAGACCAAAATAGATGTCAAAAGAGACTCTGAAACTTGCTCTTGAACAGAGCAGCTGAAGTAAATGGAAGAAGCGATGAAGTAAAAGAGCTGAACAGAACATTTCAAAGGGTGGCTCGAGAAGACTTAGTATAATAATGACATGTGCAAAGATCTGGAGATAGAAACCCAAAAGGGAAGAACACGCTTGCATTTCTCAAGCTGAAAGAACTGAAGAAAAAATTCAAGCCTTGAGTTGCAATACTGAAGGATTCTATGGGGAAAACACTGAACGACACAGTAAGCATTAAAAGAAGATGGAAGGAATATAGACAGTCACTGTACCAAAAAGAACTGACTGACATTCAACCATTTCAGGAGGCAGCATATGACCAAGAACCGAAGGTACCGGAGAATTAGTCCAAGGTGCACTGAAGGAAATGATGGAAAACAAGGCTCCAGGAATTGACGGAATACCAACTGAGATGTTTCAACAACAGATGCAGTGCTGAAAGTGCTCACTTGTCTATATCAAGAAATTTGGAGGACAGCTTACTGGCCAGCCAACTGGAAGAGATCCATATTGGTGCCCATTCCAAAAGGTGATCCAAAAGAATGCAGAAATTATCAAACAATATTATTAATGTCACACGCAAGTAAAATTTTGCTGAAGATCATTCCAAAGCAGTGTATCAATAGGGAACTGCCTGAAGTTCAAGCCAGATTCAGAAAAGGATGTGGAACGAAGGATTCCATTGCTGATGTCAGATGGATTTTGACTGAAAGCAGAGAATACCAGAAAGACATTTACCTGTGTTTTATTGACAATGCAAAGGCACTCAACTGTGTGAATCATAACAAATAATGGATAACACTGCTGTCATGGATTGAATTGTGTCTGGCAAAAATATCTGTCAACTTGGGTAGGCCATGATTCCCAGTATTGTGTGATTGTCCACCATTCATCTGATGTGATTATCCTATGTGTTGTAAATCTTACCTCTATGATGTTAATGAGGCAGGATTAGAGGCAGTTATGTTAATGAGGTAAGACTCAGTCTAGGAGATTAGGTTGTGTCTTAAACTAATCTGTTTTGAATATAAGATAGACAGAAGCAGAGATACAGAGCGACTTCATACTACCAAGAAAACAGCACCAGGAGCAGACACCTACTTTGGACCCAGTGTTCCTGTGCAGAGAAGCTCCTAGTCCAGGGGAACACTGATGACAGGGACCTTCCTCCCGAGCCGACAGAGAAAGAGAGAGAGAGAAAGAGACTTCCCTTGGAGCTGACACCCTGAATCTGGACTTCCAGCCTACTAGACTGTGAGAGAACAAACTTTTGTTTGTTGAAGCCATCCACTTGTGGTATTTCTGTTATAGCAGCACTAGATAACTAAGACAACTGTAAAGAACGGGAATTTTAGAACACTTAATTGTCCTCATGAGGAACCTGTACACAGACCAAGAGGCAATCGTTCGAATACAACTGGAGATACTGTGTGGTTTAAAGTCAGGAAAGGTGTGTGTCAGGGCTGTATCCTTTCACCATATGTATTCAATCTGTATGCTGAGAAAATAATCTGAGAAGCTGAAATATATGACGAAGAATGCTGCATCACGATTGGAGTAAGATTCATTAACAACCTTCGTTACGCAAATGACACAACCTTGCTTGCTGAAAGTGAAGAGGACATGAAGCACTTACTAATGAAGATCAAAGACTACAGCCTGCAGTGTGGATTACACTTCAACATAAAGAAAATAAAAATCTCCACAACTGGACCAATAAGCAACATCATGATAAATGGAAAAAATATTGAATTTGTCAAGGATTTCATTTTACTTGGATCCACAATCAATGTCCATGGAAGCAGCAGTCAAGAAATCAAATGATGCACTGCATCGGGCAAATCTGCTGCAAAAGACCTCCTCAAAGTATTAAAAAGCAAAGATGTCACCTTGAAGACTAAGGTGCACCTGACCCAAGACACAGCGTTTTCAATCACCTCATATGCATGTGAAAGCTGGGCAATGAATAAGGAAGACTGAAGAAAAATTGATGCCTCTGAATTATACTGTTGGTGAAGAATACTGAATATACCATGGACTGCCAAAAGAATGAACAAATAAATCTGTCTTGGAAGAAGTATAGCCAGAATGCTCCTTAGAAGTGAGGATGGTTAGACTTCATCTCATGTACTTTGGACATGTTATCAAGAGGGACCAGTGCTTGGAGAAGGACATCATGCTTGGTAGAGTAGAGGGTCAGTGAAAAAGAACACCCTCAATGAGACGGACTGACACAGTAGCTGCAACAATGGGCTCAAACATAGCAATGACTGTGAGAATGGCTCAGGATCGGGCTGCATTTTGTTCTGTTGAACATAGGGTCGCTGTGAGTTGGAACCAACTCAACAGCACCTAACAATGAGAACAACGCCTATAAAATATTCTACTGTGAAAAGTTCACATAAAAATAAAAAATGAGTTTTGTTTTGAAAACATATCACTAGTTTTTTTTAACTCTAAGTTCATTTGGCTTCTAGTGTTCTCTTCCTTTAGCATTCCAAGAGTGGAATGAAATAGGTCTCCTGAGGTCCTAGGCCCATTTTAATGGACAGCCTTGTAGGGCTTCCTTCACAGCTGCTTATTTAACACCAAGGTGTCCAGGGTCCACAGAGTTGAAGACCTGTCTTCCTCTAAGCAGCCCCAGACCGTACTCTGTACACCTATCTTGGGGAAAATCAAAACAAAACCCACTGTTGTCAAGTCGATTCCGACTCTTGGGCAGGGGGGTCAATGATACTTACAGTTTGCTTGGTATCAAGAGTTATTTGGACATCTGTCTTATTCCCCCACCCCTCTTTTGGAGGCATCATAGCTGGAGGCTTTTAAGTCAGGCAGAACTGCATTCAAACCCTGGTTTTATCACTGATTAGCTATAACTTTGGACAAGTCAGTTAACTTCTCTGAACTTCAGCTTCTTCAGCAGTAAAACGAGATAAAGGTGATATTCTTACAGGGCTATTGGACAATTAAACAAGATAATGTATAAAAATCATAAGGCCTGGAAGTTATTTAGTGCTCAATAAACAGTAGTTAAATTAGCTTCTTTTTTTCTTCCATACCCCATTACCGTCAAGTTGATTCTGACTCATAGCAACCCTACAGGACAGAGCAGAACTGTCCCACAGGGTTTCTGAGGAGCAGCTGGTAGATTCAAACTACTGACCTTTTGGTTAGCAGCCAAACTCTTAACCACTTCGCCAACAGGGCCCCATAGTACTCAGAATAAAGTCTAACATCCTTAATGTGATCTGACCTCCCTCTTCTCCAGTCTCCTGCAGGTGACTTAAGTTCCCGCTTAGGCTGCCTTTCATGTCTCTCAAATCCATCAAGCTCTTTCCTGCTTCAAGGTTTTTCACTCAACGCTTCCCACTCCCCCACCCCAATTCACCTTTCTGGGATCAACCAACACCCTCTCCTCAAGGAAGTCTTCCCTGATTCCCAAACTGTTATTCACTATCATAGCTGTTCTTTTCCTTCGTGATACCGACCAAGATAGTTAAGTTCACATTTCTTCACGTGACTATCTTCTGTTTGAGCTCATCCCCCGACAGAATGTAAGGGGAAGGGATGCGTCTCTTCCAGTTTTGTTTCCTGCTACACACCTCGCTCCACTTCTAGCTCCCAACACAATGTCTACCCCGCAGCAAACAAGAAACACTGGAAACTATTTCTCAGTGTAAATATTTGTCATAACTCACTTTTGTATCCTCAATTATCTTTCTCATAATGATAGTACGAAAATAAATATTTATAAAGTAAATTAACATTCTCACTTTTGCATATCAGAAAGCATGACTTTTTTTCTCAGATGGATCTGCCTGATAAAAATTTTGTAGTCCTGTGTCAAATTTCAAAACACTGCCTATGGTATCTCCATTAAAACATTATTTGAGAAAACAAAAAATACCACGGAGGCTCTAAAACAGTGATTGTGAACATTCATGAACTTTCTACTAACCTCAGTGCAAGGTTTAATGACCTAAGTGCAAATACTTCATTACTATGAAAGTACTATGTGCCACACATATCAATTTTATTCACTGAAATTTAAAAAGTTGGTTAAAATTATTATGTCATAGCCAGCACAACTTGTCAGGGTAAGGTCATGCATGGAAGCTCCATGGGCAAATCCAAATTCCCTGAGGGACCGAATTACTGGGCTGAGGGCTGTGGGGACCATGGTCTCAGGGAACAACTAGCTCAACTGGCATAACGTAGTTTATAAAGAAAATGTTCTACATTCTACTTTGGTGAGTAGCGTCTGGGGTCTTAAAAGCCTCTGAGCACCCATCTAAGATACTCCACTGGTCCCACCCCTTCAGGAGCAAGGGAAAATGAAGAAAACTAAAGACACAAGGGAAAAGATTAGCGCAAAGGACTAATAGACCACAACTACCGCAGCCTCCACCAGTCTGTGCCCAGTACAACTAGATGGTGCCCAGCTACCACCACCGACTGCTCTGACAGGGATCACAGTAGAGGGTCCTGGGCAGAGTTGGAGAAAAATGTAGAACGAAATTCTAACTCACAAACAAAAAAGATCAGACTTACTGGTCTGACAGAGATTGGAGAAACCCCTAGAGTATGGCCCCCGGACACCCTTTTAGCTTAGTAATGAAGTCACTCCTGAGGTTCACCTTTTAGCAAAAGATTAGACAGGCCCAAAGGATAAAATGAGACTAAAGGGGCACATCAGCCCAGGGGGAAGGACCAGAAGGTAGGAGGGGACAGAAAAGCTAGTAATCGGGAATCCAAGGTTGAGAAGGGAGAGTGTTGACATGTCATGGGGTTGTTAACCAATGTCTGAAAACAATATGTGTACTAACTATCTAACGAGAAGCTAGTTTGTTCTATAAACCTTCACTGAAAATGCAATAAAAAAAAAAGAAAAAAGTTATTATGTCCTAATCTGAGGATTCTGAGACACCTCTAGAAGTATCTGAGCACGCTAGTCTCCCAAAACCAGGGCTGTAAATTACTGCTTAAGTTTTTTGGCTTTTTTATCGGGAGTATAAAATATTTCAGGGGCTTTGCATTTTAAGGGAAACTAGATCTATAGTACCTATTTTAGGCTGAAGGCAAAGGGTAGCTGTTAGGATGAGATATATGCTGTCTAGTCAAGTTCTTTACGGATGGCACAGCTGGACCTACCAATATTCAGGCTACTGCTTCAACATGCTAATCCAGGTTACGGCTTTTTCTCTAACAGCATCAGGTTCGTGCAGTCTCACTCTGAACCTACCTCCTACAACAGGGTCCACAGGATGGAGAAGCCCCAATGTTGTCGTCCCATCTGGCTTTCTTCTTTCAAATTCACACTGCAATGACCCAAAGTATTCAAATGGACTAAACTGTTTTCTAAATACCATGTGTATCTGTAGCACACTACAAGAGTCTTATTTTAAACTTATACTACATCATCATTAAACTCAAACATTAGCTTTCACACTTGTCTCCATGTATACAGGTGCTGATGACAGGCGAAAAGACATGCAGGTGAAGAAAATCTCAGAACTTTTAAAGAAGTGACATTGGTCCTTAAGGGATCTAGTTCTGCCCACTCTATCAATAAAGGGGAATACCACAGATCCAGGAAAAGGAGTGACTTGCCCAAAGTCAAATACTAATCCAACCAAAACCAAACCCACTGCCGTCCAGTCGATTCCGACTCACAGCGACCCGACAGGGTTTCCGAGGCTATAAATCTCTAAGGAAGGAGACTGCCACATCTTCCTTCTGCAGAGCCGCTGGTGGTTTTGAACTGCCAACCTTTTGGTTAGCAGTCGATAGCTTTAACCACGATGCCACCAGGGGTCCTTAATACTAATCCACTTGGCTTTAAAACCAATGAGCTAAACAAGGTGATTTCAAAAACCAGAGTACATATGTTTAAAGTATATGGTTCATTTCCCAAGTGAGAACATAATTAACTTCACTTAAAAAAAAAAAAAAAATCCAGTAATAGAGGTAAGATTGATCATGTACTTTATGAATAAATATATTACTAATCTTTCTTTGTGACTTTACTGATGAAGAGTGCCCTGGTACATATGGATTAAAAAAACAAAACGGATGAACGTGTGCAAGCAAATTAAAAACTAAGAGTTCCCATGATCTGAGTAAGAGCCAACAGCGGCGAAGGTCAGTAGGTAGTAAAAGGAAAGGAAAAGCAGAATCACCTGACTATTAACAAGCCGCCTGGTCAGCTTTCCTCCAGATTCCTTAACGATGCGGTCAATCTGCTCCTGCTCTCTTTCTAAATTACTGCTTTTAAATTTATCTTCACTTGTATCTCTCTCTTTCCTGAAAACACACAAGAACACCAAGCAGCGAAAGAAAGATAAGATCAAAATGTTCCAATGAATTCCAAATATGAATACAGCTAGAAGTGGAGACATCGGTACTACTGTCACCAAGCAAAACTGTTTAATGGTCTGGTAAGGGGCATGCGACAACGTATGAACAGAGACAAACCTCAGACATTACTTAGTCCCTCCCCTCTTATTCTGCCCAGTTTTATTTGCCTGTTTTTTTTTTTTGGGTACATTCATAAACATGAATTCTACCCCTAATGTATTCTGAAGGAGGAGGGGTCACACAATTTTTTTTTCTTTTTAATGGCTGCTAACCAAAAGGTCGGCAGTTTGAATCCACCAGCCACTCCTTGGAAACCCTACAGGGCAGTTCTACTCTGTCCTATGGGGTTGCTATGAGCTGGAATTGACTCAATGGCAATGGATTTGGTTTTCTGGTTTAGAAACAGAAGAAACTTGCTCTCACACAAAAAGGTTTATAGGGGTTTTGTTACTGTGCAAAAGTAAATTATGACAGCAGAAATCTCAAACTAACTAATCCCCTTCTCCAAAATTGATAGGGTGGTGCTCAGCAGTCAGGCTGGTAGTCAGCAGTGTGCAGCAGGAGGCCCGTGACTGCCGTCCACTCACAGTGGCTGCTGCACCCCGCCAGCGGGCGTTAGTGGAAAACAAGCACACACGGCAGGGGCAGCCCCTCTGCTCAGGAAGGAGCTTTGACTGTGTGTGTCTATTATCTCAACTCCTTTTATGGGATGAGCTAAAGAACAACCAAACATTTTCACTTGAACAAATACTTCTATTTAATTAACTCACTGACGAGTCCTTAATTTTAATAAGCACACATATCCAGAACTGTTTTCTGAACTGAGTTTGGACAATTTCATATAGTGCCTTGTATGACAAGAGCAGTAGTACCACGTATCAACCTGGACATTCCTCACAGCTATCAAGGTGCCAAAAAACCCACTGCCGACAGACTAGGACGTGGTCTTCCCCAGTCAGGCCTGAATCAGTGGAGTCAGCATTTTTTCCCCCCTTACTTTTTCCCCCTTGAAAAAGATAGTTTAACCGAGTACTCCAAAGATTTTTACTTTCTGTTTTCCTTGTTGGGGCTTTTGAAGGCCTGGGCTTCAGCATCTCCAGCATCTTCCTTCTCCTGTGGCCAGCAGCCGCTGTCCTCCCCACTCTGCGAGGTGTCTGTCTGATCTTTCTGTTTTTGAGTTTTCTGCAAGTCTGTCATGAATTCTATGCTCTGCTTCAGGCTCTGAATTCTTTCCTAAGAATATTCAAGAATATTCGTATTGTATGTTTGTTAGTAACTTTCAAGGTAATGCATTTTTTTTTTTTTCCAGCAGAGTTTGCACCTATTCTGTCATTAACTAGAGAAGAAAACAAATATAATCACATCAAGAGCATATTATGTTTAGAAACCAGGACAATAAAATTTATTCCTTCAATTCAGATAATTTCCAATTTAAGAGGATGTTCTATAACTTTATCACGTCATCCGAATGTTTACAGAAGAGAAAAGTGTGAATTTAGACTAAGTATTCTTTGAAGTACTGAATTTAAAAAGTAAAATTTAGCTTAATAGTACATTAAAATTTTACATGTAACAGAATAGCTCTTTTGAAATTTAACAATCATGGGTAGATTGAAACCTAGAGCCTGTGAAGGGGTGGAGCCTGTGAACAGGTGAAGTGTCCTTATATTCTGGTATCCTAGGGTAACTACTGAAGACTCTGCCATTTTTCTCTTCCGTGTGAAAACAACATGCCTTGAGGGGAATACAAAGTTGCTAGCATAGTTCATTCCTCGAAGTGCATAATGTTCTCAGTAACCAAAGAAGTCTTGTTTCTATTTTGTGAAACCTGTGCTCAATTTTCCACTGCAGCGATAAGCTGTGAGATTTTCATCGTGGTTAAGGGCTTGAGGTTTCTGGACCAATTTTAAAGAGGTAGATTTGTTTCTACTGACTATTCTGTCTTCCACCTCTGAGAGTTGTCACTGGATAAAATTTGCAGTGCAGTGCAGCCTCCTTAGCAAGGGCGGATTATCCAATAGGCAAGGTAAGCATGGTGCATACCTTCCTTACCAGACGATCTGTAGTGAACAATTCCACATTTTTTCACCACATCAAAGATTCTGCTTCTAGGTATGGCTGGCAGCTGTCTCTTTCCCTACCCCACAGCACCCCCGTACAGAATCAAAGCCTCTTTTCAAATTTACAATCCCTGATGGACTGATTACCCAGTAAGCAAGGTAAGCATGGGCTTACTTGTGCTTACTTACTAATCTGAAACCCAATGGAAAACCCTTTGCTGTTGGGTGGATTCTGACTCATAGCGACCTTATAGGACAGATGAGAACTGCCCAATGGAGTTTCCAAGGAGTGGCTGGTGGAAACCCAATGAAACCATGTGAAATTGGTCACTACAGATTAGTAAGTAAGCACAAGTAAGCCTGTGCTTATCTTGCTTACTGGTTAATCTGCCTCTTCTCTTTAGGCTGGGCTGCACAGCAACAGCAAGGAAGACGGACTTTTGCAGAATAATAGAAACTAAGAACTGGAGTTTCTATTCCAATTCAGAGGTCATTCAAATAAGAACAATGTAGCCCAGAAATGCTAGCTCACTCACCTGAGGCCACAGAACAAGTGGCCAAGACTAGGCCGCTTATCTCTTGTGACAGGTCTCTCCTCATCACACTAAGCTACATCAACAACACAGCCCTTAGCCTCTGAGAGCTCCGGAGAGGCTGGACCCGTTATGTAAGTGTGAAGTAATGTTAAAATTGTTCAAGTAACATATTTTATTCAGACAAAGATATGGACAGAAAATAAAATAAAAACATTGTTAATTTATCTAGGGAGGAAAAGAGTTAACGGGTTTAACATTTTAGTATTTTTCTAGACAGTAAACATGTTAGCAAATTGGAATTATACCGAATATTGGGTAATAAGCATTTTCCTTCCATACCATTAAATACCCTCTAAAGCCCTTTTAATAACTGTATAGTACTTTATCCTATGTATGTGCCATGATTTAATTCACATCCTACTGTAAGAGCTCGGCTGTTAACCAAAAGGTCTCCGGTTTGAATCCACCAGCCACTCTTTGGAAGCCCTATGAGGCAGTTCTACTCTGTCCTATAGTGTCGCTGAGTTGGAAGTGATCGACAGCAATGGTTTTTTTCTTTTTTTGAGTTTGTTAGACATTTAGATTATTTCTTAGTTTCCACTATTACAATAAAAGTCTCATGAACATTATTGTAAATAAACCACTCTAGGAATCTCTGATTATCTCTTTAGGATAAATTCCTAGAAGTGGAAACACTATGTTAAAGGGAATGAGTATTTTAAGGCTTCTGATACTTACTGCCAAGTTGTCTTCCAGAAAGGGTTACATCAATTTATATCAGTGTTTCAAAGTTTCATCGGTATTGGAGAATTTCTCCAAACTCTGACCAGACTGAACGGTATCATTAAAAAAAAAAAAAAAAAAAAAAGCCAATTTGATTTTTAAAAACATCTTATTTTAATACATACTTAAAAAATAGTAATGAGTTAGAGATTTCCATAAACATTTACTGGCCATTTGTGCTTCCTCATGTCATCTGAGCTGCGTCTGACTCATCTCTGCAGCCCTATACTATGTCGGCACATTGTTGTGTGCCATCGAGTCAATTCTGACACATAGGACAGACGAGAACTACCCTATAGGGTTTCCAACCAGCAGCTGGTGGATTCGAACTGCCGACCTTTTGCCGACCTCTTAACCACTCCACCAGCAGGGCTGAAATCTTTACAGGAGCAGATCTCCAGGTCTTCTCTCCCACGGAGCTGCTGGTGGGTTTGAATTGCTGACCTTTCGGTTCACAGTCGAGCGCTTAACCACTGCCCCACCAGGGCTCCTCAGCAGATTGTAGCTACTCAATAAATGTTGGTTAAATGAATGGGCTTAGATCACAAGGGTCTCAGGAACCTTTTTATTCCCATTCTAGAATTTATAAAGCAGAATCGACACTAAGAACATGTTGGAATTTTTTTAACATAACTTACACAAAATTAAAATAATTCAATTAGAGAAATGTTGTAAATTTAGAAACAAGTCAAGGGAAAACACTGAGTTTAATTAATTTTTATTCTCAAGCGCAATGTTTTTTTCTTTTTTGGTAATTAAAACTTCTCCGAATCAGCGTACTGTTCACTGATCATTAATTTCACAATACTGAATGGCTAAAAGTGCTTGGTTTGCTGCCGTTAACAATTAACGCTTACTGAGTGCTTACCTTTGCACCCGGCGTAACTTTATGAGGTAAGTACTGTTACCCCCATTTTACGGGGCAGCAAAGAGGCTGAGGAGTTACTTGGCCTGTCTGAGGTCACCAGGATTAGTACGATTCTGAAGCCACTGTGCTGTGAACGGCAGTTTGTGAAATGCGGCATACTCAAGCACTTATGTAGGAGATCAACAACGTCCATTGTTTATAAAGATAATACTTCTACTAATAGTCACTATTTGGGTATAACTAAGAAAACGATGAATGACTGCTCTAAAAAAAACTTTACACTGAACATTCAAAACTGGTTATGATTTAAAAGACATCGTTCATAGGAGGGTGTGCTGGGCTCCCTTGGGAGTGCTGCTATTAGAAGAGTTAACTCAGGGTCTAAATCGAAACATTTCAGAATCACTGATGTGAGGATCCCTCCCATCTAGGGTGGAGAGAACAGTCAACAGGAAGCTGTTTAACACAGGATGGGTAGGGCTCCTCAACAGGAAGCGCTCTGAAAGAAAGGAAAACAACCGAGAGAGAGAAAAGGGAAAGTGGAGAAGAAAGTTTGTTTTCTGGGCCACCCCCGGGAAAAATCAAGAGATAGTGGAATCTTCTGCACGTTACATTAACTACAATATTTAAAGAAGAGAACATCCTGGTGAATCAAGGTTGATAAATTTACTCTAGATAGGTTAGGTCTATATAAATTAACTTCTTTCCCAAAAATACAATGTATGTATTTTGGAGTGACAGAAGACTGCACTTGTTGGATGCACTTTTCCTTCACGGAGAATAACAAGAGGCCTCTGCAGGTTTTTAAACCTGGAATGTGGCTTGGCTCTGGATTCTGAGAGTCTTCCTGCAGGGTGGGATAAACACTTTATATTCCCTTTTCCTCTGCAAATTTTGCCAAAAGATGGGTGACTGGATTACATTACAGTTTCCCAAGTCTTGAGGAAAGGGTGGAACTGATGTTGTCTAAATATTAGGAGTGTAAGAATAATCACCAATCCAAATGTTTTTCTTTCCCTAGTTAAGCAGATCCAAGAACCTTTCAGAGCCAAGCACAGATACTGAGACATCTGCACACCAAGGCATTTCTTTAAACGTAGAACTGTAATACAGACGATCACCATTAAAAAAAAAAAAAAAAGAAAAAAAATCACTAAATTGGAAAACCAAAAACATGACTCATTTCTACCACCCTTTAACTCTTCTGGGTCTGAGCTCAGGTCTTAATTTTCATTCCTTTCTCCTTCTCCCCTGTGTCTGACACCCGCTCATTTCTTTTTCTTTACAAATCCCTCTATCTTGCTGCTTTTTTTTAATAGTTTTCTCGCTAGTCTAGTTCTTACGTGGACTCGGAACATTGCTGCTAGAAACTCTCCTGGAGATCACAGATTAAATCCTTCTTTATGGAGAACATTGAGGCCCAGAGTAGCTAAGGTCTTGCCCATGGCCTACAAGTTAGTGGAAGGGAGTCAAAACTAGAACCCAGTCTTCTGACTTTTGGCAATGGCACCAAGATTACCCTCAATGTTTTTCTACATGTAGTCTCTTATTAATGCGGTTCATCCTACTCAGAGCTGTGAGAAAAACCTCAAAAAATGCTACTTATCTTCTGAGTTGTTCCTTTTTCTCAGCAGATTCAGTGATCACCTCAGTTTACCCCTCAAGGTCTTTCATCAGCTGTCACTCTGGGAGGACACTCATAACTCTGAGTGATACTACCTATGATACTGTTTTGGGTAAGTTATCACGTTTACGTGCTCTCATGCCACTTGATGATGTGGCGTCTCGGGTTCTGTACACATTTTTCCTACCTTGAATGCCTTACCATGCACCAATTCTTGTCCTTCCAGGAAGATTCTGCTCTTGTGAAGAGGTTGCTTGGAGACAGTCTCAAGCGATTTCTCATTTGTGTTGTCCTTCTACTAAAGGGAGTTCCTATACTTCACTAAGAAGCACAGGATTACCTAGAATATTGGATTCCACCACTACAAAGGGAAACACAGAGCCTTCTCCTAAAAGGCCTCTTAATTCATCCAGTCTTCATGGAATTCAGGCTACTGTTTCTTCCACAGTAGAATTTTGCTGCCCACAGCAAAAATAAGTCTATCTGGTGAACATCAATTTAAAAGCCTCTAAAGAAATAATTACAAGTGAATAGTTAATTCTATCAATGCCAAGTGAGAATCTTCCTGCCTTAATCTTCTTTACTAAAATTTTTCATTAGTATTTCCTACTATAATATGATTAATAAAATAAAATCAGTATTGTATTGGATCTGTATCCCTATGACCAAAAAACACAGGGATACAGATTTTATAATAATTATTATGACAAAGAGTTTTCTTTACCTGGCTAAGAATTTTCATCCCTGAGTGTAACAGCTTCTTTGCAGCTTTATAATAAATGGTCTCCGGCTTGTTGTAAATCATGGCATTAGTACACATGAGTCTGAAATTATCCTGTAGAAATAATATTAAGGAGAAAAATGCATTAAAACAGAGTAACTCTCTCAGCAAGTTTTAAAACATACAGATCCCCTGAAACTTAAAAAGACCTGTTCTTCTACTGTTCACTGAGCAGTACTACATAACAGCAATTTATTTAAAGAAAAAAAAAAAAATTAGGACTCATCAACGAAACAAATATTGCTAAATTAATTTAAATTTGCTACAACATTCTTTTCCAACATTTTAAACATTTCATAACTGTATATAAACTTTAGATTCCAAAATGAAATTTTTAAATTAGTTTCTTCAGTATAACCTTACTACACAAAGAATTAGAAGAAAATCATTCTACTTTAGACTTATTAGAATAATCTTGGCTGAGTAGTCAATGTAATTTTAAAAATTATTCCTAGTTTAAAACAAACATTTTAAATTCCTATTTTGGAATTAAATATTTCGGATCTTGACTGAAGACTGGAAACAGTGCTAAATTATCACAATATTTCCTGCCAATTCAAATTAAGTGAACAAAAATGTTAACATTTAGTCATTTTCTTTTAAGTGTCTGAATACTATCATAAGCCAAACGTAACTGGCAGAATGTCGCAAAATCATGCCAATATGGAAGAACCATACAACCTCAAGGAGTTAAAACACGTAAGTGGAATAGCCAAATTATCAAAGCTGTATTATTTAAATTTCAAAGTATGCATATGTGCTGGAGAACTCGATCCCACTGCATTTTTTCATGGTTGAGTCATTTTCACATTATAGAAATGTGAGAGTGATTATGCCAAAGCCTTACAAATTGATAAAAATTCAACAAAAAAGGATCCCCCTTCCCAAACAATCCAAAACACGTTCAAAATCCACTGTTTAATAATTAGTGATGATAACTCAGAACACTTAAATGGAATGAAAATAGAATAAATTCTGCTTCAAAGTATATAAGGAGACAGATCCAAAGGTCACAGTGAATGTGGTATTAAATTTATTGTGGCTGGAAGTATACCTGGATGCTCAGTTCCTGGCCAAGTCTCTAATCAGTTATGCTTAGGTCCTGGATTTCAAGACTCTGATGAAATTTTGGATCTACTCCTCCAACACACACACACAGCACTGAACACAATTCTCATGTAATTTTAGCAGGTCCACGGACCCCTAGAAGTCCTTCTGTGGCTTCTCAAAGAGACTCAGGTTAAGAACCTCTGCTACAGATACTCTGAAACACTCCACTCCATTAAAAATTATTAAATATATACTTGGGGGAGAGGAGGCAAGTGAGGTGAGACAGATGACCATGCACTCATACTAAATAACCACTGAGCAAGACAGCACTGGGTTAGCATGACCACAGACCTGATCTGTTAAGGCAATTTACAGACCCCTTATATCTTAACTGTAATGTGTAGGCTTCACTGGACTTTTATGTAATGGTACTTGGTCATTCAAAAAGATGAACAACTGTTCTGCACATATTTTACACAGATTTTTTACTTTAGCAGCCTAATGAGACGAATAAACTAATACATATTATTTCACCAGAAAAAAAAAAATACAGTAACGTAGACAACTTCGAAGAGTTAAAAATACTCATTCATTTCAATTATAGCAAACCTTAACCAACTTTCCTCAAACACATTTAGGGGATACACTTCTCTCTCTTGTCATTGTTAAGACCAAGATCATACGAAAATGCTTCACACGAGAGGAAAAAAAGGAAATATTTTTCTATTAAGCAAAAATAAGGTCAGAAATATGCTGGGAAAACCAAGCAAAATAGTTCTAGCCAGATTTTCACCGGAAATAAAATTTGGAAAAGTTTCCACATCTCTGAATATGAGAATAAAAGTCAGGTTTTTCAAGGCAAGAGAACTATTACCTATACACTTAAAAGTGATAGTGACAGAATGAAGTACTGCTGTTCTTCATAAGGAGCCCTGGTGGTGGCACAGTGGTTAAGAGCTCGGCTGCTAACCAAAAGGTCAGCAGTTCTAATCCACTGCTCCTTGGAAACCACATGGGGCAGCAGTTCTACTCTGTCCTCTAGGGTGCTATGAGTCAGAATCGACTTGATAGCAATGGGTTTGGTTCTTCATCAATCTCAGCTGATCTACATGTGGACGAAAAAGGAGAGACAAAGTAAAGATAATGTTTAGAGCCTTATTTTCCTTCTGTAATTAATTCGGGCCTAACCTTTAGGTCAAGTGAACTCTACCATGTTCATGTGGAAAAAATAAGTGTAAAATAGATACTACCTAAACCAGCTAAGTTTGAAGTGGTTTGACACAAAGCAAATTTAAAAAACAGATGGTTTCTTCTCTTTGGAAGAATAAAATGAAGAAAAGTATACCCCTGATATCAATATACACCAGACTCTTTAAAAATGGAAAAAACTTTAACGTTACATTATCCTGGGGGTCACGTGTGCTCTAAGTTTCTTCTTTTCTTCTCCTTCTTCTTCAAGCTGAAGAAAATATGCTCAACAAATACAGCCTAAGTAAACTCAGGAAGCAATGACTTACATCGAACTGTTGTTATTAGGTGCTGTTGAGTCATCTCCGACTCATTGCGACTCTATGTACATCAGAATGAAATACTGGCCAGTCCTGTGCCATCCTCACAATCACTGCCATGTCTGAGCCCACTGCTGCAAACACTGTATCAATCCATCTTGTTGAGACTTTTTCTTTTTTTCACTGACTTTCTACTTTAGCAAGCATGATGTCCTTCTCCAGGCACTGGTCTCCTGATAACATGTCTAAAGTACATGAGACAAAGTATTGCCATCCTTGCTTCTACTAAGGAGCACTGTGGCTGTTCTTCTTCCAAGACAGATTTGTTTACTCTTCTGGCAGTCCACGGTATGTTCAATATTCTTTGCTAACGCCATAATTCAAAGGCATTAATTCTTCTGGGTCTTCCTTATTCATTGTTCAGCTTTCACATGCATATGAGGTGACTGAAAATATCATGGCTTGGGTCACGCACACTTTAGCCCTCAAAGTAGCACCTTTGCTTTTAACACTTTAAAGAGGTCTTTTGTAGCAGATTTGTCCGATGCAGTAGGTCGTTTGATTTTTTTGACTGCCACTTCCATGGGCGTTGATTGTACATCTAAGTAAAATGAAATCCCTGACAACTTCAATCTTTTCCCCGTTTATCATGATGCTGCTTACTGGTCAAGCTGTGAGGATTTTTGTTTTCTTTATGTTGAAGTGTAATCCATACTGAAGGCTGTAGTCTTTGATCTTCATCAGTAAGGGCTTCAAGTCCTCTTTGCTTTCAGCAAGCAAGGTTGTGTCATGTACGTATCATAGGTTGTTAATGAGTCCTCCTCCAATCCTGATGCTGTGTTACTCCTCATATTGTCCAGCCTCTCGCATTATTTGCTCAGCATACAGGTTAAACAAAGTATGGTGAAAGGATAACCCTGATACACACTCTTCCTGATTTTAAACCATGCCATATCCCCTTGTCCTGTTCGAACAACTGCTTCTTGGTCTATGTACAGGTTCCTCCTGAGCACAATTAAGTGTGCTGGAATTCCCATTCTTAGTAATGTTATCCATAATTTGTTATGATCCACACAGTTGAATGTCTTGGCATTGTCAACAAAACACAGGTAAACATCTTTCTAGTACTTTCTGCTTTCAGCCAAGATCCACCTGACATCAGCAATGATATACCTTGTTCCACGTCTTCTTCTGAATTTGGCTTGAATTTCTGGCAATTTCTTGTCGATGTACTGCTACAACCACCTCTGAATTACCTTCAGCAAAATTTTACCTGTGTGTAATACTAATGACATTGTTCAATAATTTCCACATTCTGTTGGATCACCTTTCTATGGAATGGGCACAAATAAGAATCTCTTTCGGTTGTTTGGCCAGGTAGCTGTCTTCCAAATTTTTTGGCACAGAAGCTATACATCAAAGTAAAAAATGTAATTAAACTGTCATTTAGTATTTTTGGACAAGCCAATCTGGTCTCTATTTTAGAAGACACACACACTTTATACGTCTAGAAACAGAAAAAGAAATTCTACTGTAATTATACTTTCATTAAAGCATCAATTTTACCTATATTGATGAGAAGATAAAAATCTAATACCATCTTTTTATTTTAAAGGCTGTGAAAATATATTTTAGAATACACATAAAACTCAACATATCACTAAAAACAAAACAAAACAATAAAATATAGTAGATGGCTTGTTTCATCTAGTTTTCTATCACTGAGCACATAAAACATTTTCTAAGACAGAAAAACACAAAGATTTTGGATATCAAAATAAACTTAATTCTTAGCAAAATAAAGGTCAATCTGAAATATTCTGAATACCAGACCTTTAGATTTTCACCAAGTTTTTGTGTATGTAGAATCCAAGAGTTTGACTCTCAAGTGTATAAAGATGTCTCTGAGAGTTTTATTTTGTGTAAGAACTCAGTCTATTTCTCCAATGAAAATATAAAAAATTATAATTACCTTTAGTTCTTCTATGGACTGGTAGTCATTGTTCTTGATCTTTTCTTTCATGGTACTAAAATCCATTGGGTGTTTAATGATCATGGAGTAGCCAGGAGCAATAAAATCAGTCACAGGAAACGAAAAGAAAGCACTTGGGTCTTTTCTGTGAAGATACGGAAAAAGCAATCTTATATTTCTACGACAAACAAATTTATTGATCTAGGAGCAGACGTCAGAGAACTCTAAATGGAGAAAGAATCCGTAGTATGCTACCAAGTTTTTCACTGAAAATTGACGGAAAAAATTTTAAAGACTAATAACTATTTAATAACAAGGTTAAGATGTTTTATATACTAGCTGTACTCTTAAGACAGGTAACGTTTCTTTTCAAATATGTAGCCTAATTAATTAGTAGCACCTCCTACAAATGGGAAAACAAAGCAAAATAACCTAGACCAACAACTAACGTCTTGGGCCTTTGGGAGATTAGTACTGTATATTGTCATTAACCGTGGGAGAAAACGTAGAAATGTTTAACTATGAATGAATGCTTATCTGTAATTTCTAATAGGCTTGGACTCCTTGTGGGCCACAGAATTATTGCATCCATGTGTATATGTGTGTATTTTCTCAATCAATGGATAAAACTTCTGTCATATGCCTGTGCATGTGTGCACTCTCAAAAAACTGATACTAAGAAAGGTCTTCATGATACCCCTAAATCTGAGCACTAGTACTTTCTATCATAGGTTCTCAACTCTGGCTGCACATGAGTAATCATCAGAGGAGCTTTTAAAAAATTCTACTGTGTGTGCTGGGGGAAGGCTCAGCTAGACCCATTAAGGCAGAATACAAGGTCCTGAAGGTTTACCTTTGTTTTCTTCTAAGACTTGTATCTTTAGGTCATTGATCCATTTTGAGTGAATTTCCATATATAGTGTGAGGTAAAGGTCCAACTTCTTTCTTCTGCATGTGGAAATCCAGCTGTCCCAGTACCATTTGTTAAAGAGACTATTCTTTCCTCATCGAAGGGACTTGGCACCCACATCGAAAATCAACTGACTGTAGAAGTATGGGTTTATTTCTGGACTCTTAGTTACACTTCATTGGTCTATATGTCTGTCATTATGCCAGTACCACAGTGTTGTGACTACTGTAGCTTTCTAGTACGTTTTGAAATCCGGAAGTGTGAGTCATCCTACTTTGTTCTTTTTCAAGATTATTTTGGCTATTTGGGGTCCTTTGTAATTTCATATGAATTTAAGGATCTGCTTTTCCATTTCTACAAAAAAGGCTATTGGAATTTTGATAGGGATTGCATTAAATCTGTAGATGAAGTATTGACATTTTAAGTTTTCAAGTCCATGAACATAAGATGTCTTTCCATTTATTTGTTGTTAGTTGCTGTTGAGTTGGCTCTGACTCATGGCAACCGTATGTGTAACAGAACAAAATGCTGCCTGGTGCTGTGCCATCTTCAGGATCATTGGTATGTTTTGAGCCCATTGTTGTGACTACTTTGTCAATCCATCTCACTGAGGGTTACCCTCATTTTCACTGACCCTCTACTTTACCAAACAATTGTTCTTTTCTAGCAATCGTTCTGATGTTCCTAAAGTGAGCAGAAGTATCACCACCCTTGCTTCTAAGGAGCACTCTGGTTGTATTTCTGCTAAGATTGATTTTCCATTCTTTTGGCAGTCCACGGTACACTCGCTATTCTTTACCAATATCACAATTTGAATGCATACAATTCTATCTTCCTCTTTTACTGTTCAGCTTTACATACGTATGAGGCAAGTGAAAAGACCGTGGCTTGGGTCAGATGCACCTTAGTCATCAAAGTGACATCTTTGCTTTTTAAAACTTTAAACAGCTCTTTTGCAGATCTTCCCATTGCAATATGTCATTTGCTTTCGACTGCTGCTTCCAAAGACATTGTTAATCCAAGTAGAATAAAACTGCCGACGACTTAAATTTTTCTCCACTTATCATGATGTTGTTTATCAGTTCAGCTGTGAGGATTTTCGCTTTCTTCATGTTTAGGCGTAATCCACACTAAACGCTACAGTCTTTAACCTTCATCAGTCAGCACTTCAAACAGTCTTCATTTTCGGCAAGCAAGGTCGTGTCATCTGCATATTGCAGGCTGTTAATGGGTCTTCCTCCAATTCTGATGCCGCGTTCTTCTTCATCTAGTTCAGCTTTGAGGATTATTTGTTCAGCATACACACTGAATAAAGTGAAAGGATACAACCCTGCTGCACACCTTTTCCAATCTTAAACCATGAAGTATCCCCTTGTTCTGTTTGAACAACTGCCTCTTGATCCATACGCAAGTTCCGCATGAGCAAAACGAAGTGCTCTGGAATTCCCATTTGTCACAATGTTATCCGTAATTTGTTATGATTCACACAATCGGGTGCCTTTGTGCAGTCAATAAAACACAAGGAAACATTTTTCTGGTGTTTGGCCAAGATCATTTGACATCAGCAATGATATCTCTCGTTCCAGGTCCCCTTCTGAATCTGACTTGAACTTTTGGCAATTCCCTGTTGATGTAAAGTTACAGTTGTTTCTGAATTATTTTCAGCAAAATTCTGCTAGCATCTGATATTGAGTTTGATGATTTTTGCCATTGTCTGACTGACTTTCTTTGGAATAGGCATGAATATGGATCTTTTCCAGTCAGCTGGCCAGGTAGCTTACTACCAAATTTCTTGACATAGATGACTAAGTGCTTCCAGCGCTGCATCCGTTTGTTGAAACATATCAATTAGTATTGCATCAATTCCTGGAGGCTTGTTTTTCACCAATGCCTTTGGTACAGCTTGAACTTCTTTCTTCAGTCCATTTGTTCTCGATCATATACTAAGTTCTGAATTGTTTGAACGTCACCAATTCTTTCTGGTACAGTGACTCTGTATTCCATCTTCTTTTGATGCTTCCTGCGTCGTTCAAATTAACTTGTTCAGTAACGCCAATTTCAGGCTTGAACTGAGAAATGCTGATCGTACCCATTCCTTTTTGGTTTTCTAACTCCAAGTCTTTGCACATTTCATCATAATACTTTATCTAGTCTTCCTAAACCACCCCTTGAAATCTTCTCTTCAGCTCTTTCACTCCATCATTTCTTGTGTTGGCACTGGCTACTCTGCGCTTAAGAGCAACTTTCAGAATGTCTTCTGACATCCATTCTGGTCTTTTTCTTGTTTTTTGTCTTTTTAATGACCTTTTACTTTCTTCACTACAACTCTTTTGGTCTTCGGTCATTAGAGTTCAGTGTGTCAAATGAGGTGAGATGTATTCAAGATTTTATTTTGGCTCTCGTGCACTTGTTTTTGATTTTCTTCAACTTGAACTTGCACATGAGCAATTGATGGTCTGTACCACAGGTCTGCCCCTGGCTTTGTCTTGACTGGTGATACTGAGTTTCTCCACTGTCTCTTTCCAAAGATGTAGTCAATTTGAGTCCTGTATAATCCATCCGGTGAAGTCCACGTGTACAATTGGGTCTTTTAAAATTTCTTTCAGCCATGTTTTATAGTTTTCAGTATATAATTCTTTCACTTCTTTGGTTAAATTTATACCTAGGTATTCCTTTAGAGATGCTACTGTAAATGGAACTGTTTTCTTAAATTCCTTTTCAGACTGTTCACTGCTGGTGTATAAAAACACAACAGATTTTTGTGTGTTAATTTTGTAACCTGCAACTTTGCTGAATTCGTTTATTAGCTCTAGCAGCTTCCTTATGGATTTCTTAGGATTTTCTGGATAGAGAATGATGTCATATGCAATTAGAGATAATTTTACTTCTTTTCTGATTCGGATGTCTTTTTATTTCTTTTTGGTGTCTAATTTGCTCTCGCTAGACCTTCCAGTACATAGCTGATAAAACCAAAAAAACCAAACCAGTTGCTGTTGAGTTGATTCTGACTCATAACCACCACGTGTGGAGAGTAGAACTAACTCCATAGGGTTTTCAATAGCTATGACCTTTTGGAAACAGATCACCCGGGCTTTCTTCTGAGACACCTCTAGGTGGGTTTGAATCACCAATCTTTTGGTTAACAGTTGAGCACTTAATCATTTGCACCACCCAGAGACTCATGATGTTGACAGCTGTGGTAAAGTCGGCATCCTTGTCTTGTTCCTGATGTTAGAAACCTTTTACTTTTTCACCATCGTGTATGATTTCAGCTGTGGGTTTTTTCATAAATGCCCTTTATCATGTTGGGAAATTTCCCTTCTATTTTTAGTTTGTTAAGTGTTTTTTATCATGAAGAAGTAGAAACTTAAAATGTATTTACCATACACCAGGCCCAGGGTAAGCACGTGACATATTTTATATCTAATCCTCACAAAAGCCATCAAGGTGGTGGTATCCTTAATTACAGATGAGCGCACTGAGGCTTGTTCTTGTTGCTGTTACGTGCTGTCAAGTTGGTTCCAACCCATAGCGACCCTAATTTGTTCTAGGTCATTGTCATGGACTGAACTGTGTCCCCCAACAATATATGTATCAATCTGGCTAGGCTACGATTCCCAGTATTGTGTGATTGTCCACTATTTTGTCATCTGATGTGGTTTTCCTATGTGTTGTAAATCCTCATCTCTGCTTGTGGTTAATGAGGAAAGAGTGGATTATGTTAAGGAGGTTTAGTGTGGGATATAACACCCTTGCTCAGGTCACATCCCTGATCCAATGTAAGGAAAGCTTCCCTGGGATGTGGCCTGCACCACCTTTTATCTTACAGAGATAAAAGGAGAGGGAAGCGAGCAGAGAGCAGGGACCTCGGACCACCAAGAAAGCTGCGCCAGAAGCAGAGTCCGTCCTTTGGACCCGGGCTCCCTGCACAGAGAAGCTCCTAGTTCAGGGGAAGATTGATGACAAGGACCGTCCTCCAGCGCCGACAGAGAGAAAGCCTTCCTCTGGCGCTGAGCCCTGAATCTGGACTTGCAGGTTACTAGACTGTGAGACAATAAATTTCTCTTTGTTAAAGCTATCCACTTGTGGTATTTCCGTTACAGCAGCACTAGACAACCAACACAGAAATTTGGTACTGAGAGTGGGGTGCTGCTCTAACAGATACCTAAAATGTAGAAGCGGTTCTGAAACTCTGAGTGGATAGAGGACTCAAAAGGAGGTGAGAACTGTTAACACTGAAGACAGCGCAGATGACAAGAAGCGGCAGCAGCAGAACCAGGAGACCAGGGTGAGACAGTGCTGGAACCAACCCAAGGAGCGAGAGAGCTGAGTGCCTTTGGCAGGAGGCTTCCTGGCGGAGTGGGGTGTCTCCAGGCACTTATCGGTGGAGCTACAGAGCTTTGGAATACTTGCCCCAGCAGGGCAGATGCAGGCAGTGAGGCCTAACGGGCCAAGAGGCCAAGGAACCACGAAACATAAGCTTAAGAGAAAAGGAACACAGGAAGCAGAGTTGCCTCAGTCTCAATGGGTATGGCCACGACATCTGGGGTCTCAAAGGGTGGAGTCATGGCCTCTGGTGTTTCTAAGGGTGGAGTCGCCACTCAGATGGACTAGGAGAATGGTATGCCCAAAGCCGAGGGAGCAGAGTTGCCATCCCAGTGGGCCTGGAAGGCAGAGCTGAAGCCCAGGGCCATGGGGTCTCCACTTGGAATCCGAAGAGTGTGGCCAATACCTAGAGTCTGGAGGGCAGGGCTATTGTATGAATGGTTTCAGAAAACAGAGGATTACTTTCAAAGCCTTGAGGGCTAATGTAATGTGTTCTGCTGACTTGCCTGGTGCCTGCTATGCCTTCTTTCCCTGTAATTTATTCCATTTGTAATGGAAATGTTGAACTTGTGTCTGCCTGTTGCACCACTATACCTCTGGAAGCAGGTAATTTGTATTCTAGATTTCACAGATGAAGAAGAATTTTTGAATTTTGGACTTGGAGTTAAGACTTTTGCTATGATATGATGGGGTGAATATGTTTTATGTGTGGTAAGGACATGAATTGTGGGCTAAAGGATGGAATGTCATGGATTGAACTGTGTCCCCCCAAAATATGTGTCAACTTGGTTAGGCCATGATGCTCGGTATTTTGTGGTTGTCCTCCATACTGTGATTACTTTTCCTATGGGTTGTAAATCCTAATCTCTGCCCGTGGTTAATAAGGCAAGATGAGATTATGTTAAAGGAGATTAGGATGGGATCGTAACACCCTTACTAAGGTCACATCCCTGATCCAATGTAAAGCAAGTTTCCCTGGGGTGTGGCCTGTACCACCTTTTATCTTACAAGAGATAAAAGGAAAGGGAAGCAAGCAGAGATGGGGACCTCATATCACCAAGAAAACAGCGTTGGGAGCAGAGCATGTCCTTTGGACCCAAGGTTCCTGCGCAGAGACGCTCCTAGTCCAGGGGAAGACTGATGACAAGGACCTTCCTCCATAGCCGACAGAGAAAGCCTTCCCCTGGAGCTGATGCCCTGAATTTCGACTTCTAGCCTACTAGACGGTGAGAAAATGAATTTCTCTTTCTTAAAGCCTTCCACTTGTGGTATTTTTATTACAGCAGGACTAGATGACTAAGACATAAAGCTAATAAGGGATTGAGATGGAATCTGAACTCAAGTCTGCCTGAAGCTACTTTTATTCTTCCCAGCAGGATGCCTAAGCAGCGACACAAAAAAAATGATGGGAATGAGCAAAAATATCCAGTCTAGAACTTACATATCCAAATTCATTCTGTTCATCGGAGCTACCATGAATAACAACACTAGTCATCTCTAGAAGTCTGCTTTGGCAACTATCTTTCAGAGCAAATTATCAACTATACCCCACAAAATGAGTCATTTTACTATAGAATTCAATCTAATTTTTTGACCCAAAATGGCTTTGGCAAACTTGATCAATTATATCCTTTACCAGTCTTAGCTCTCTGAGCCTCACAATAAAAACTCACCCAATCACTAAGGCTATCTAAAACCTAATTTCGGGTTCTAATTCCAAAATGTTCTGAGCAATGTTAAGATCCTTGGACTAAGATATACCTTTTAAAGTAGATTTCTGTTAAGGTGACATCATTAACCTACATTCCAATTTTCTGTTAACTAAAAGGCAGCCGAAGCACTTTATAGTCATAACTTTTAATTGACATGGAACGCTGAATACTCACACATTCACTCCTTTGGGACAAGTAATGAATAATTTATTCACACATAAAAACTAGAGATTCAATTTTCTCAACTACTCTGTAACACCAAAGAAGAAGAGAGGCTGGTAGCGTATCATCTTAACTGCAAAGCTGAATAGGTGCTAAATATAGAGAGCTGTAGAGGCTTCATCTCGAAAAATTATTTATGATGTTCTCTGGGGTTGACATATAAGTACAACAAAGTGAAAAACAAAGATTCTTTTCTCTTTTAAGAGGTTTACTTAACGTTTGTTTAATCTAGACATTAAAGTTTTCAGAATAAATTCCGCATTTAAAAGAGGGTCACAAATCCTATTTATGGTGCTTTGTTTCTTCTCCTAGCCTTACTAATTACTGAACGCTCACAGCATGATAGGCACTGCACAAATACACAGAAAGTACTTCAATCTATTAGCAAAACTGGAAATATCTGTATTGTTTATTCCACCTTTAAAGCTTTAACATCAGAAATTACTTTAGATAAAAAAGAAAGTTGCCGTTAAGAGTATTATGTAACAGCATTCAAGTTACCAGTTAAAACAAAGCAAATAAGAACATTTAAAAGTCAGCCTCTTAAAGTACTTCTATTGCCAGACAAAATATTTACCATCCACTTTAAAATCAAGTACATTTGGATCTAGGCCACAAAATGTGGCTTTAAGTAGTCAAAAAAAGGGAAGTGGTTTGGATCCTATATATTTTACCATTTCAACTTCCATGTTATGAAAATGCTGGAAGAAACATTTACCTTTGCAATTGTCTCATCAGTTGATTCAAAGCTTCTTGAAGGGGTGTCTGTTCTACTTCTAAAGAAAAACAGAAAGCAAAAGAGTTTTTTTAAAGGAAGATTCTAGAGAGTTTTATACTTAGCTTGTTTTCTTTCTGTATCGTTTCTCTGGTATTCACTATTAAACATCTTGTACAGAAGTGCAAAGAGGACTGGAAGCACTTTCTGATGAAGATCAAAGACCACAGCCTTCAGTATGGATTACATTTCAACATAAAGAAAACAAAAATCCTCACAACTAGACCAATAAGCAACATCATGATAAATGGAGAAAATACTGAAGTCATAAAGGATTTCATTTTACTTGGATGCACAATCAACGCCCATGGAAGCAGCAGTCAAAAAAATCAAACGACGTATTGCCGTATTGCATTGGGCAAATCTGCTGCAAAAGACCTCTTTAAAGTGCTCAAAAGCAAAGATGCCACTTTGAGGACTAAGATGAGCCTGACCAAAGCCATGGTATTTTCAACTGCCTCATATTCATTTGAAAGGTGGACAATGAATAAGGAAGACGAAAGGAGAATCAATGCCTTTGAATAACGGTGTTGGCGAAGAGTAGTGAATAATGTATCATGGAGTGCCAAAAGAATGAACAAATCTGTCTTGGAAGAAGTACAGTCAGAATGCTCCTTAGAAGCGAGGATGATGAAACTTTGTCTTATGTGCTTTGGACACGTTATCAGGAAGGACTATTCCTCGGAGAAGGACATCAGTCATACCTGGCAAAGTAAAGGGTCAGCAAAAAGGAGGAAGACCCTTAACAGATGGAGTGACACAGTGGCTGCAACCATGGGCTCAAGGATGGCAATGATTGTAGGATGGTGCAGGACTGGGCAGTGTTTCACTGTGTTGTACACAGGGTTGCTATGAGTTGGAAACTACTTGACGGCCCCTAACAACAACAAACAACAACACACTTTAACTTAAAAGCTAAAACCCAGTCGCTTTTCCTGGCTATGACCCTTGAAATATCTTCAGCTTCCTCATTCAGTACAGTTAATTCAGTTATTCCAACCTTCTTGTTTGGCTAAAGAGCTTGTGAGAGGCTTCTCAGGAGGCAAGTCTAGTCTTACTGGGGCCTGACACTGGAGGTCGTTTTCTGCCTCATTCTCCACACGGTCCCGATCTTGCTTCCTTTTATCCTCCTAAATGGAACAAAGGGAGATAATTTAGAAATCGTTCAGAACCAATACCTATAAATGTGTAAGTCATTTTAATTTCAGAGGAAAAAATAAGACATCACTGGGAAAAAAACAGATTCTTAATGAAATCTTAGTGTATTTACTGCCATCTACTGGAAAAGGAGAGAATAACGTGTTTGTAAAGGAAAAAAAAAGTATTACTATATGTCAGAAATAACAAGTTAAAAAATAATACTATTCACAAGTATTTCATATATGTATTTATACACACACACATTACTAGAATGCATACATTAGCTATATACAATATAATATACCCAGGAACACAGAGTTCATGACAGAGCAGGAGCAAGGTAGGGTGCAGAACTCAAAATTCTAGTAAAAAGATCAGATTTAATGGTTTGATTGAGACTGGAGGGACCCCAGAAGACATGGTCCCCGGACTCTCTGTTAGCCCAAAACTAAAACCATTCCTGAGGCCTACTCTTCAGACAAAGATTAGACTGGACTGTGGGACATAAAATGATACTCGTGAAGAGCGTGCTTCTTAGCTCAAGTAGAAACAAGAGACTAAATGGGCAGCTCCTGTCCGGAGGTGAGATGAGAAGGCAGAGAGAGTCAGAAGCTGGCTGAATGGACATGGGAAATCTGGGGCAGAAAGGAGGAGTGTGCTGTCACATTACAGGGAGAGCAACTAGAGTCATGTAACAATGTATGTATAAATTTTTGTACGAGAAACTAACTTGAATTATAAACTTTCACTTAAAGCACAATTAAAAAAAAAAATTTTTAAATAAATCTAACAAAAGATGCCCAAGACCTTCCTGGGAAAAATCATAAAGCATTACTGAAGGCTATAGTAGAAGACCTGAATAAAGAATAGATATACCACGTTTATGAACTGAAAGACAGTCAATTCTCTCCAAATTAATCTATAAATTTAATGTAATGCCAATCAAAATGGTAAAACAGGATTTTTCATGGACTTTGACAAGGTGATTTTATACTTTATCTTGAAGAGTCAGAACAGTTTTAAAAAAGGTCATAATAGGATAATTTGTCTTAGTAGATATTAGGTATCTATATAAAATAATAATTGAGATGATGTGAACTGGACAAAAGGATAGAGAAACAGATCAACAGAACAGAGTAGAAAACCCAAAACAAACCAGTGAGCATAAAAAAATCTTGGGATATCACAGAGAAGGCGTTAGAAATCAAAGAAAAAAGGGTGATGTTGGAACAACTGGGCAACTACACGGAAAAAGAAAATTAGATCTCTACATCTTACCACACACAAAAATAAATTCCGGATAGATTAAAGACTTAAATGTACAAAGCAAAGTTTTAAACATCAACAAAAATAGAGACTCTTTATGACCCAAGAGTAAGGAAAGGTTTTCTTAAATAAGGCACAAAAAAGGATAAATCATAAAGAAAAAATTTGATAAATTTGCCATTAAAATTATAAACTTTGGTACCTCAAATAAAGAAAAAACCCAAAACAACAAAACACATAGCTAAAAGGCTAGCTACAGACTGAAATGAAGTACCTGAAACACAAATAACTCATAAAATGTTAGCAGAGATTACAAAAGAGCATCTATAAATACATGTAAAGACAAATAACCCAATAAAAAATGGGCAGAGGCTATCACGGGTAATTCACAGAAGACGAAACTTGAAATGTTAAGAAACATGATATGTTGCACCTTAGCACCCCGGGAATTACAAAAGTCAAAAATGAGAAGGCATTTCACATCATTCTAATCGGCAAAAATTCAAATGTCTACAAATGCCAAGTTCTGATAAAAATTTAGAGAAATGGGACTCTCATACCTTGCAGGTAAGTGAGTCAACAGGCACAGTCACTAGCAGAATTAGCAATTGTGCACATGAGGAATATGTACACAGATCAAGAAGCAGTTATTCAACAGAACAAGAGGATACTGCATGGTTTAAGACTGGAAAAGGTGTGCGGCAGGTCGCATCCTTTGACCTCACTCAATCCACATGCTGAACAAATAATCCGAGAAGCTGGACTACATGAAGAACGCAGCATCAGGACTGGAACATGCATATGACACAGCCTTGCTTCCTGAAAATGAAGATGGCTTGAAGCACTTAGTGATGAAGGTCAAAGACTACAGCATTCAGTATAGATTATGCCTGAACATGAAGAAAATGAAAATTCTCACAACTGGACCAATAAATAATGGCATGACATATGGAGAAAAAAACTGCAGTTGTCAATGATTTCGTTCTATTTGGATCAATAATCAGTGTCTGTGGAAGCACCAGTCAAGAAATCAAATGATGTGTTGCACTGGGCAAATCTGCTGCAAAAGACCTCTGAAGTTTTAAAAAGCAAAAAGTCACTTTGACGATTAAGGTTATGTCTGATCCAAGCCATGGTCTTTTCAATTGCCTGATATGCATGAGAAAGCTGAACAATAAAAAACGAAGACAGAAGAATTGATGCATTTGAATTGTGGTGCTGGTGAAAAATATTGACTATTCTGTGGACCACCAAAAGAATGAACAAATCGGTCTGGAAGAAATACAACCAAATGCTCCTTAGAAGTGAGAATGGAGAGACTCTGGCTTACTTACTTTGGACACGTCAGCGGGAAAGACCAATGACCAGAAAAGGACGTCATGGTTAGTAAAGCAGAGGGTCAGTGAAGACGAGAGCAATACTTAGGAAGATGGACTGACACAACAGCCACAGTGGACTCAAACGTACCAACAATCATGAAGACGGCACAGGACCTGGCAATGCTTCGTTCTGTTATACAAAGGTTGCCGTGAGTTGGAGCAAACTCGACCCTACTTCTCAGCTATTCCTTGCCTGGCACATGTCCTAGAGATGACATAGTATACATGTAGAAAAGTATCAACTGCAGCACTGCTTTAGATAGTAAAAAATTAGGAACAAGGTTATGCCAACTGAAAGGATGATAAATTAATAAATCATGGTATATTCACACAGCAGGTAAAATACATGAGGTAAAGTTATACTACATCAACCTGAATAATACTGAAAAACATAATGTCTAGGGAACAAGTTGCAGAATAATTGTCTGTTACAAGATCAGTAGTGTAAAGCCGGAAAATGTGCAAACCTGTGTTGTTTACAGATATATGCATAAGTAGTAAAATTCTAAAAAATTTATGTGTGTGATGCACACTCAATTCGGGATGGTGGTTCTCTAGGGAGAAAGAGAGAGGACTGGGATCCTGAAAAGGTATACAGGAGCCTTCACCTGTATCTATACTCTCACTTCTTTAAAACAAACAAGCAAAAAGCAAAATGTTGAGACGCTAAAGTTGGAGAATTGGTATCCAGGTGGTAGCTTTATTATTTTCTATACTTAGCATTTTTTAATTTTTTATAATTGTACTTTAGATGCAGGTTTACAGAATAAACTAGCTTCTCATTAAACAACTGGTATACGTATTGTTTTGTGACACTGGTTACCAACCCCATGACATGTCAACACTCTCCCCTTCTCGACCTTGGGTTCCCTATTACCAGCTTTCCTATCTACCCCTGCCTTCTAGTCCTTGCCCCTGGGCTGGTGTACCCCTTTAGTCTTGTTTTATAAGGCTGTCTAATCTTCGGCTGAAGGGTGAACCTCAGGAGTGACTTCATCACTGAGCTAAAAGGGTGTCCGGGGACCATACTCTAGGGGTTTCTCCAATCTCTGTCAGGCCAGTCTGGTCTTTTTTTGTGAGTTAGAATTTTGTTCTACATTTTTCTCCAGCTCTGTCTGGGACCCTCTATCGTGATCCCTGTCAGAGCAGGCAGTGGTGGTAGCCGGGCACCATCTAGTTGTGCTGGACGTCATGGCAGTTGTGGTCCATCAGTCGTTTGGACCAATCTTTCCCTTTTGTCTTGGTTTTCTTCATTCTGCCTTGCTCCAGATGGGGTGAGACCAGTGGAGTATCTTAGATGGCTGCTCAGATGCTTTTAAGAACCTAGACGCTACTCACCAAAGTATTTTCTATACTTAGCATTTTTTTAAATTAAATTTTGAAGTAAAATTGGCCAAAAATGTCCATTTTAAGCTCTTTAGAGTCCAACTATCTGAGTTTTCAGAGTCTCAATAGATCTTATCAACTCGAAAAATTATCTTCTTGGCCTATGTCCTACTTTCTTTTTCTACTATCTAGAGCAGTAGCTCTGAAAGTGTCATCCCCAGACCAATATCCTCTTAGAATTTGTTTGAAATGCAATTTCTCAGGTCCCATTATGGTTCTCAAGCTTTAGTGTGTGTCAGAATCACCTGAAGGTCTTGTTGAAACACTGATGGCTGGGCCCCACCCTAGGATTACCAATGGGGTGGAGCCTGAGAATTTGCATTTCTAACAAGTTTACAAGCCAGTTGGTGCTGCTGCTAGTCCAGGGATCACGCTTTCAGAATGACTGAGACAGAGCTTCATGTACTTTTATTCTCAGAGTCCAAAGCACCTCATACAAATACATATGATCAGTTTAAAAGCTCCAATGTCATGAACTGTACTCAGTGTGCACTTGGTCCAGTACCATTAGTGTAGGTTGGCTGTGTCTGTTTTTAATACCTCATGACATGTTCTGTAGCAGTAATTCAAACTTTGGAAAATTCTGTATCTTTTGCCCAGAAAAACTGGCACCAATCTTTGTAGGCTGGCAGGTTTAGAACATCTGTTCTACGGGAAAAGACCCCAGAGATACAGATCCTTTCCTACGAAATGTGACAGCTTGAAAAGGCAGTAAGCATTTCTCACAAGTGGAAAGAACTAGGGCCCTGGTGCCAGAACCCCTATAATAGGGGTCAGCAAACTTCGTTTGTAAAAGGCCAGAGAGTAAATGTTTTAGGTTTTGTGGGCCATAATGTCTGTCACAACTACTAAACTTTGCCGTTGTAGTGTGAAAGCAGTTATAGACAATATGTAAACGAATGAGTGTGGCGGTATTCCGATCAACTTTACAAAAACAGATGGCGCTGGCCATAGTTTGC